AGCAGGCAGAAAAACATGAAAAGGAGAGACTGGCCTAGCCTCCCAGCCTACATCTTTGTCCCGTGCTGGATGCTTCCTGCCCTCAAATGTCGGACTTCAAGTTCTTCCATTTTGGGACTTGGACTGGTGCACACCTGTAATCTCAGCTACTCAGGAGGCTGAGGCAGGAGAATTGCTTGAACCCAGGAGGCAGAGGTTGCAGTGAGCTGAGATCACGCCACTGCACTCCAGCCTGGTGACAGAGCAAGACTCCATCTCAAAAAGAAAAAAAAAAGTAATACATGCTCATTATAAGGAAAAAAAAAAAAAAGATTCAAAGGGTTCAGAAAGATAAATGAAAAGTGGAATTCCCCTTCTCCCAGTCACCCACTTTTCACACTCCACTGTTAAGTTTCTTGCATATCCTACAGTTTTTTTATGTATATGTAAGCATGTCTCTTCATAAGTGGGACGATACCATATATACATTTTATAATTTTTTTTTAAAGGAAAGATGGCTTTCAGTGTATCTAGATCTATCTGTAACAGCTGCGAGGTATTCCACTATATGGATGTGGCAAAATTCATTCAACTAAACCCAAACAAATAGACATATGTTGGTTGTTTCTATTGGTCCTTTAGCAATAGTGCTATAGTAAACATCATTTTGCATAAATCTCCATACAGTTGTTTAAGTATGGAGGGATAAATTTCTAGAAATAAAATTGCTGGATGAAAGAAAGCATGGGCATGACTTTTATTTGGATACATATCCATCAAAGGTGGGAGAATGCCATTTTCCCCACACCCTCACCAATTCTTTACCAGTCTGAAAGGTGAAAAAGTGGGCCCCAACTACCTTTTAGAGTTTCTCTGCCCAGCATTTTCCAGTGACTATACACGCAAATGGAAAAGTCCCATTAGAAATAGTTGATCCAACACAATTGCAATCAAATGTTTGAGCTAAGTAAGTACACACCAGCAAAGTACTAAAAATATCCAGAAAAACTCAAGCTTCATAAAACCAAATTTCAGATCAGGGATGCTAAAATCCACATAGCTCACTTGTGTGATCCTGGTGTAAACAGACTCTTCAAATGAACTTTGGAGGGAAATCATTTCTCTAGGTAAGGAATAACAGCATAAAGGGAAAATAAAATAAAATTAATAGGTACAGGATTCTCTCTAGATCTGCCCTGTCCAATATATGCCACTAACCACATGTGGCTATTAAACATTTAAAATGTGGCTAGTGCAACTGCAGAACTGAATTTCTAATTTTATTTAATTTTAATACTGGTAAGAGTGATACTTCAGTTGCTGGAAAACTGTTAGGTGTGTTTCAAACAATTTGAGTATGTAAATATATTTTTCCACAGTAAGTTTTAGGAAATCTAAATATAGATTAAGTATGTCTGATGAAAACCTAGCAACTGAATTGACTGGTTCCCTCCCCCCGCCCCCCAGGTTTGTTTTTTTCCCCTGGAGGCAAAGTTTTGCTCTGCCACCCAGGCTGGAGTGCAGTGGTGTGATCTTAGCTGACTGCAACCTCCGCCTCTTGTTTAAGTGTTTCTTGTACCTTAGCCTCCCACATAGCTGGGATTACAGGTGTGTGCCACCATGCCCAGCTAATTTTTGTATTTTTAGATATGGGGTTTCACCGTGTTGGTGAGGCTGGTCTCTAACTCCTGGCCTCAAGCAATCTACCCACCTCAGCCTCCCACAGTGCTGGGATTACAGATGTGAGCCACCGCGCCCAGCCTTGATATGTGTTTTTAAAACGTAAAATATATCAGATTTTGGAGACTTAGTATGAGAAAAAGAATACAAAATACCTCAATTTTTTTTTTGTTCGAGGTAGAGTTTTGTTCATCACCCAGGCTGAGTTCAGTGGTGTAATCTTGGCTCACTGTAACCTCCACCTCCTGGGTTCAAGTGATTTTCCTGCCTCAGCCTCCCTAGTAGCTGGTAAAATATCTCAATTTTATATTGATTACATATTGAAAATTTTAAAATACATTGTTATATAAATTGTTAAAATTGATTTTCAATGGGTTTTGTTAGAGAAGCTACTAGAAATTTTTTAAATTACATGTATAGCCTGTATTATATTTTTGCTGAGCAGTGCTGCTCTAGATATGGTAATTAACTACCTTTTTCTGGGGAGATGATTCATAGCATTCCCCAGAATCTTAAGTCCAAAAGAAGGTATGAACCATAATAGAACTACAAAATATACTCTAGCTCCTTCTGGAGGCTGCACTCAAAAAACCTTTTAAAGAAAGATAACTGACATTTAAAAAATAAGACATTTTACCAAATCACTGTCACTGTCTCATCAAAGGACAGCTTCCAACAGCTGTTTTCTGATGTCCATTCTTCAGCTGACCAAATTGGAGCAGACCTAGACTTGCTAGTACTGAAACTCTTAGTTCCCAACAAGGGTTAGCCTTACAGAGGAAACTTAACAACTTGAGAACTGCAGCAGCAGGATAACGTCTCCACCTGCCTACCTCTCTGTCAAAAAAAAAAAAAAAAAAAAGCCTCTGTTGTGGGACAAAAGTCCTGAAAGGTGGTGAACCTGTTGCATGTCTAATTAAAATCTAAAAGTCACTACATTGACTAAAGCTGCTTACCCAAGGCTTAGCATGGTGGCTTATGCCTGTAATCCCAGCACTTTGGGAAGCCAAGGCAGGTGGATCACCTGAGGTCAGGAGTTCAAGACCAGCCTGGCCAACATGGTGAAACCCCATCTCTACTGAAAATACAAAATTTAGCTGGGCGTGGTGGCAAATGCCTGTAATCCCAACTATTTGGGAGGCCGAGGCATAAGATGATTTGAACCCAGGAGGCAGAGGTTGCAGTGAGCAAAGAATGCACTCCAGCCTGGGCGACAGAGCAAGACTCTCTCTCAAAAAATAAAATAAAATAAAATTGCTCACCAAGAAAAAAATGAGAATAGCACAAAAATCATGTAGAAGCAAGGAAATTAAAAAGACTGTGTAATTTTCAGTAAGTAAAGTACTCCTTTTAACCATTTTATAAGTTGATGAAGTATCTGAATATACATGTATACAAGTTTGTAAATGTATTAGTTGAAGCTGAGTGTGGTGGCTCACGCCTGTACTCCCAGCACTTTGGGAGGCTGAGGCAGGTGGATCGCTTGAGCTCGAGACCAGCTTGGGCAACATGGCAAAACCCTGTCTCCACTAAAAATACAAAAATTAGTTGGGTGTGATGGCAGGCACCTATAGTCCCAGCTACTCAGGATCGCCTGAGCCCAGGAAGCAGAGGCTGCAGTGAGCCAAGATCATACCACTGCATTCCAGCCTGGGCAACAGAGTGAGACTCTGTCTCAAAAAAAAAAAAGTGTTAGTTGTTTGCCATGTTGAGAACAATGTCATTGCAGTAAAGGGATGACATGGCTACTCTAATGCATGTAGAAAAGTGTTTAAATGTACAGTGGGCCCTTGAACAATGTGGGGGTTAGGAGTGCCTACCCCCTTGGCTTTGAAAATTTGGGTATAACTTTTGTCTCTCCAAACACTTAACTCCTAATAGCCTACTGTTGACTGGAAGCCTTATCAATAATATAAACAGTCAGTTAAAACCCATACACACACATACATATGTGTGTTTGTGTGTGTGTGTGTGTGTGTGTGTATGCACATAAATATATATATATATATATATATATATATATATATTTTTTTTTTTTTTTTTTTTGAGACGGAGTCTTGCTCTGTTGCCCAAGCTGGAGTGCAGTGGTACAATCTTGGCTCATTGCAACCTCTGCCTGCCGGGTTCCTGCTTTAGCCTCCTGAGTAGAGATGGGGTTTCACCATGTTGGCCAGCTGGTCTCAAACTCCTGACCTCAAGTGATCTGCCCACCTCAGCCTCCCAAAGTGCTGGGATTATGGGTGTAAGCCACCATGCCTGGCTTATATACTGTATTAAGCTAAGGAAAAGAGAATGTTATTAAAATCATAAGGAGGAGAACATATATTTACTATTCATTATGTGGAAGTGGATCATCAGAAAGGTCTTCATCCTCATGATCTTCCTGTTGAGTAGGCTGCAGAGTGGGATGAAGAGGAGAGCATGGTGTTGTTATCTCAGGGGTGGCAAAGGCAGAAGAAAATCCACGTATAAATCGACCCATGCAGTTCAAACCCATGTTCAAGGGTCAACTGTACAGGTAAATAGAAAGTGTGCATGTCGAGTGATAACACTGAGAATGGTATACTCTTAGGCAGCAGAAGAGCAGCTTTCCTTTATATCTCATGATGTGTTCTTCTCAGAAAGCTGAGCCTCATTACATTCTTATCTCTTTCATAAATTGCCTATCAGCTTCCAGATTTACAAGACCAGAAATTTATAACCAAGAAAGAGGGGTTAGGACAGGGCAGAATTAGGAGAGAGGTGGAGTTGTGTGGAGCTTTAAAAATCACACTCAATGCTGGGTGCAGTGGCTCATGCTTGTAATCCCAGCACTTTGGGAGGCCAAGGTGGGTGGATCACCTGAGGTTGGGAGTTCGAAATCCATCTGACCAACATGGTGAAACCCTCTCTCTACCTAAAATACAAAAATTAGCCCGGCATAATGGCAGGTGCCTGTAATCCCAGCTACTCGGGAGGCTGAGGCGGGAGAATCGCTTGAACCCAGGAGGTGGAGGTTGCAGTGAGCCAAGATCACGCCATTGCACTCCAGCTTGGGCAACAGAGTGAGACTTCGTCTTAAAAAAGAAAAGAAAAACACACACTCAAAATGATCACTGCTCTGATTTGGCTATGACAGTTGACATACTTTGACATTTCAAATGATGCTGATTCTCAAAATGGAGCATAAGTTAAAGCAAGTTTGAAGATCACTGTCAAGCTTGAAGATCACTGTCCTAAATTCACGTGACTTGACACAAGAATGGGGTAGTACAATAAAATGTCAGCTCACACCTGAACAAATCAAAATTCTAATTCTTTATACTGGAGGAGATAATACTGAATAACATGACCCTGCAAAGTAGTCTACCGAGTTCTTTAATCAGTGTGAGTTTAGAATTTAAATTCGACATATGCAAAGTACCTCCCTAAAGCATCCCTACACTTACCACCAAAAGTAGGTATACTTGAAAGATACACACAGCATTTCACACAGTGATCTTACAAGGCAGAAAAAAGCGTTCTTAGGAAGCTTCTTTACAGCCACTTTTCATCCACAAGGAAAGCAGCAGCCATAATCATCTTTACAAAATAAGTGTAATCAGTAATAGCAAAAAGCCAAATTATTTAACTTTTTGAGTCATCTCTTCACTTCACCACTGGCCTCAGTAATTTCTGGACCCATTGGAGCAGCAGAGTTGAAGATTAGGGAGAAGTTGGAAATTTCCTTAACCTGTTGGCAGCAGTCACCACGTAGAAATGTTTCTTGAAGCAAGGAGAGAATAAAAGAAAAGAAAAGGCATGTATTTTAGACAAGTTGCTTTATGAAGAAACAGTAAAAGGATTTAATGAGTCTAGCTGCTTGGGTTGGTTTAAAACTTTTAACCTAAGGGAGACAAGTTTCTAAAATAATTATAGAATAGTCACATGACTTTCAGGGGCATGTTTGGAATAAATATCAAGTGGGACTATACATCTTCCTTCCTTCCTTCCTTCCTTCCTTCCTTCCTTCCTTCCTTCCTTCCTCCCTCCCTCCCTCCCTCCCTCCCTCCCTCCCTCCTTTCCTCCCTTCTTTCCTTCCTTCCTTTTTTCTTTCTTCTTTTTTTGAGATGGGGGTCTTGATTTGTTGCCCAGGCTGGAGTGCAGTGCCGTGATCTTGGGTCGCTGCAACCTCCACCTCCTCGGCTCAAGCAATCCTCCCACCTTAGCCTCCCAAGTAGCTGGGACTACAGGCAAGCGCCACCACACCTGGCTAATTTTTGTCTTGTTTGTAGAGATATGGTCTCACTATGTTACCCAGGCTTATCCTCCGCTTTTCACATGAAAAATGGCGCACCCAAGAACAGTGTCTTATTTTTATTTTTTATCAGCCTACATCATGCTTTGATAGAACAGTGTTTTTCAAATTGTGATTCACAACTGAGCAATGGGTCATGAAATCAAATTGGTGGGTTGCAAACAGCATTTTTAAAATAAAACCAAGTGGCATAGAATAGAAAATATCAGAATACATCATACTCCGTTAGAGAAAATGTTGTGATTTTTTTTTTTTAAACAGAAAAGAAAAAAAATCACCCAGGCTAGAGTGCACTGGCGTGATCATGGCTCATTGCAGCCTCAAACTCATGAGCTCAAGTGATCCTCCCCACCCAGCCTCCCAAATGGCTGGGACTATACATGCAGGCCACCACGCCTGGCTTAGTCAAATTTGTGTGTGTGTGTGTGTGTGTGTGTGTGTGTGTGTGTAGATGTGTTTCCTGGTATGTGTGTACATGTATATGTATACTGGTGTACTGGCTCCATACATAAAGGGTTTCGTTTATGTTTTTGGATCCCCAGTGAGGATCTAAGTCCATATTAAATTGTCGGAAGCCACTTCTCTGGATCACAGTTGCTTTTAAGATTTTATGTCCATGGTACTAAACAATTCTGTTGTAAACAAAATTATAAAGCTTTAAAAGCTTAATAGAGCTTTCTTATCTCTTATTTCTGAAATGTGGAGGAATTGGTCCTCAAGCTCTAAGCAGTTAGTTCAGGAGCTTCACTGTGATTGCCACTGAAGCATATGCTTAAGCTTCATTCTGTCACTTCAAGTGTCCATATAAGCACAAACCAAATGTAGCTTTTAGCCAGTTATTTTCGTTCTGTGACATTTTTAGATCAAGCTAGCAGCTTTTGACATGAGAAAGATTTTTTCCCCTAAATAACCTTTCTGTTTAGAATCACCATGTAAGTAAAAACTTAGCTACAGGCTGGGTGTAGTGGCTCAGGACTGTAATGCCAGCACTTTGGGAGGCTGAGGCAGGAGGATTGCTTGAGGCCAGGAGTTCAAGACCATCCTAGGAAACTTAACAAGACCCCGTCTGTGCAAAAAAATAGAAAAGTTAGTGAGGCATGGTAGTACATGCTTGTAGTCCCAGCTACTTAGGAGGCTGAGGTGGAAGGATTGCTTGAGCCCCGGAGTTTAAGGTTAGAGTGAGCCATGATCATGCCATTATACTCCAGCCTGAACAATAGAGCAAGACTCTGTCTATAAAAAACAAAACAAACAAACAACAAAAAAAAACTTAGCTACAGGGTTTTCAAAGGATGGATTCAGATGACAAATTCCACCTTTACTAAGAGAAAAACCAAATACCTTCCATTTTCTTTGAGCTATGTATTTCTGCAGCAGCAGTTGCGATTTGAGACGAACTTTGGATCTTGAAGCTTTGGCAGGCAAATTATTCAGCCACTCATGTTTCAGGCACTGTGTGGCACTCATTCTGCAGCTGTGAAATCAAAGAGCAGTTAAGACTTTTAGTTGAAGTTGGCTTTTCTAGTTCAAAAATCTGTTCAGTTGGTTAGGAAGCCTGAGTCAGTGGAACAGATTAATCATTTAGGCAGATGCATGCCATGTACCAAAAAGGGAACTCCTTGTATCTAAAATTCCCTGCCTTCAAAGTACCAGAAGGTTGTCAGCAAAATGTTCTCTGACCTCTATAGCGGGAACATATTCCAGTGATTCTAGAAGGAACCACCTCCCAGAGGGGGCTGGGAAGTTGAGGCAGAGCGGTAAGAAGGCTAGCTGTGGCTAAAATTGTTCTTAAGAAGCAAAAGAACAAGAAATTTGAAGGAAGCTTTTTTCTTCTTACAGAGAATAAAGGCAACTTGTACATCTGACTTAGAATTTTTTTCCTCTCACATAACTTTTCACAGTCAAAAAAAAAGACTATAAAGGTCAGGAAAATACAAGCTGTCTTAGAGCCCAGACTCTTGGGCCTTAGCCTTGGGTCATTAATACTTTGGGTTATGTCCAGTTATTACCTTATGTCTGAGTATCAAAAAACTCAATGGCTTGACCCATGACTGATATAGATGCTAAAGCCTAAACAGATTTTCTTCACCAAGAAACAAGGTATTTAGATCTTTATTCTGGAAATAACATCTGCATCTCAACTTTTTTTCAACCTTAGCCTATGACAGGTGATTAACTTGCAGATCGAACCAATTTATATATGCTTCTTTTCTAAAACTATATTTTATGCCCCTACTTGTTTGTTGTTTCATTGATTTCCTTTTTCCCTTTCTCTGTTCCTTTATTGTTCCAAAGAAGTAGCAAACTAAGAAATCTTGAACAGAATTCATCCACAGGAAGACGGATCTTCACGGTCAGTAGTCCTGCTCAGCTCCCAGACCCGGGATTTCCATCAGAAGGGCCCATGAGTGACAAGCAATGAAGGATACCTCTTCTCTTTGACCAGCAACCGGGAAACAAAGTCCTTGGCCTCCTCCGAGAGCCCCTCAAAGGTGTCAGCATCAAAATCCCAGCTACAGTTTACAATGAAATTCATGGTCTCTGCATCTGTTTCCCCTAGAAATGGGGACAAGCCACTGAGTCTATAGAAGAGAGAAAGGACCATCAGTAGGTGGAGGCCACATTTGCCAACCTGCATCGGCAGAATAGTGAAGCTTACAGAGTTCAAGTGAACCTAGCCAGAACCAAGGGGGTTCAAAAGAAAAGCACCTCCACTACTTCTGCACAGGATGGAGTCCAATGTGTTCATTAAAGGGAGGAGCAGAAGGATTTAAAATTCTGAGGCAAGAAGAGCGTTTGGAGTTAAGTCCCCTCTTGTGCGCACCTCTTTTCCTCTCATTACTGAAGTAAAGAGTAGAATTAGGGCCCAACTTGGTATGTCCAATTATCAAGTCCATATTGATTTCATTTTAGAAACAGAAATAGCCTTCCATGTCCTTGAGACAACCAGGCTTGTTTAGATGCTACCCAGGCCCCAGGCCAAAGGAAAATGGGCTTTATTAGGCTCCCATTAGAGTGAGGGTAGAGAGGCAGGACACCCTGATGGCTGGCCTCAGGTCTCTGAACTTCCCCAGCCTGGTGCAGCTCACACATCTGAGTGCCGGGACAGTGCGTAGCAGTTGCACAATAATCAGAAGACCAGAAGCAAAACATGACTTTGCCTCTGAGGAAGCAGCCAAGGGAAGTCCACAGCGGAGGAGAGTAGAAAATAGGGAGCACAAGGGTTCCATGATGTGGCAAAGGACGTCCTGCCCTGCCCACTCCCATTCCTTACCCCTTACCCACTCCAGCCTCATTTGGGTTTTTATTTTGTTTTGTCTTCATGCAGGGCATCATTCTGTCACCCAGGCTGGAGTGCTGTGGTGCAATCATTGCTCATTGCAGCCTCGAACTCGTGGGCTCAGGCAATCCTCCCACCACAGCCTCCCAAAGTGCTGGGATTACAGGCATGATCCAGCTCCCTTTGTACCAAAGCACCTGTATGTCTTTGCTGGAGGGCTTTCTCTCCAGCTGAAGCTTGCTTTACTCACCCAGAAGTATCAGGAAATCCATTCCACCCCATCTCCATTAGTCCACAAGCAATAATAGATAAGAGTTCATGTATAAATACTCCAACTCCCTCCCCGGCTATTAAATAATTCTCAGGGAGTATTCCATGATAGATTCTGGGGCTCCCCAGCAGAATGAAACTCTAGTTGCCCACAACTGGGCCTTACTCCTGGGTCATGAATACCTTTGTTATTTTCAGTTACTACTTTTATGTCTCAGTATCAAAAAATTCAATGGCTCAAGCCATAACTTTTTTTTTTTGAGACGTGGCCTTGCACTGTCACCCAGGCTGGAATGCAACTTCCCAAGCTCAAGCAATTTTCCCACTTCAGTCTTCCTAGTACTGCTGGGATTACAGGCACGTACCACCGTGCCCAGCTAATTTGTTTTGTTTTTGGTAGAGACAGAGTCTCCTATGTTGCCAAGGCTGGTCTTGAACTCCTGGGCTCAAGCAATCCTCCCACTTTGGCCTCACAAAGTGCTGGGATTACAGGCATAAGCCACTATGCCTAGCTCAACCCATAACTTTGATACAGCTGCTGAAGCCCAAGTAGGCCTTCGTCACCAAGAAACAGGCCTTTAGACCTTTGTTCCAGGGAATCATATTGGCACATCTCACCTTTTTTTCAATATTAACCTACTACAATGATAACTTGGAAATACAACAGCCTTGTAAATATGGTAACTGGCTTGATAAGATACCCTTCGCCAGCTCTTTTCTTTCCCCATCTCACTACCCTATTCCTCTACTGGGGTTTCCTGGGGACACTTCCCAAATAGACTACTGGTGCTCAAAATTTTGCTTCTAAGATTACCCAAGGGAAAACAAATAACCGCCGTCCCCACTTCAGAGCCAGGCTGCTAAGCACTCACAGCATGTAGGTGATGACTCCCACACTCCACATGTCCGTGGGGAACGAGACAAACTCATAGTTAACGACTTCTGGGGCCAGGAATTCAGGAGTGCCAAAATTCACCTTCAGCTTCTCTCGAGGCTTGTACCTGGGGAAGGGTGGAGGGTACAAAGAACCATGGGGTGAGGCCTGGGAGCTGTGGATTCTGGGGCTCGTTTCTGGTAGGAAGCACACATTACCCCCTTCCTGTCAGCCATATGGCCTGGACCCCACACCCACACTACACATGTGGATTACTGGGGAATACTCAGACCCCAGACCCATTCTGCAGGCTTTTCTAAGTCAGTGGTAGAATCAGAGAACTACAGTCTTCCTCCTCCAGGCATTTGCTGCTTTCAATAGTCAAATTTATAGAAACAAATTAGGAAGGAGTTAGGGGCAAATGGAAAGTGGGAAGTTATTATTTAATGGGTACAGAATTTCAGTTTTGCAAGACAAAAAAGCTCTGGAGATTGGTTGCACAACAATGTGAATGTACTAATTGTATATATTTATAGTATGTATGATGCCTTTTTTTTTGAGATAGGGTCTCACTCTGTTACTCAGGCTAGAGTGCAGTGACATGATCTCATGATCTCGGCTCACTGCAACCTCTGCCTCCGAGGCTCAAGCAGTTCTCTCACCTCAGCCTCCTGAGTAGCTGGGTCTATGGGCATGCGCCACCACACCTGACTAATATTTTGTATTTTTTGTAGAGATGGGGATTCACCACGTTGCCCAGGCTGGTCTTGAACTCCTGAGCTCAAAAAATCCACCTGCCTTGACATTACAAAGTGCTGGGATTAAAGGCATGAGCCACCACACCCAGCAGGTATATATGATGCTTTGATACATGTGTACATTGGGGGATGGCTAAATCAAGCTAATTAACATATGTATTACCTCACATACTTATTTTTTGTGGTGAAAACACTTAAAAGCTATTCTCTCGGCAATTTTCAAGTATGCGATATATTGTTATTAACTGTAATCACCATGCTGTTGTACAATGGCTCTCTTGAATTTATTCCTCCTTTCTAAGTGAAATATTGTATCCTTTGGCCGACATCTCCCCAGTGCCACCTGCCCTGCCTTTGGTAACCACTATCCAACACTCTGCCTGTAAGAGTTTGTCTTTTAGATTCCACACATAAGTGAGATCATGTGGTACTTGTCTTTCTGAGTCTGGCTTATTTCACTTAACATAATGCCCTACAGGGTCATCTATGTCGCTGCAAATGGCAGGATTCCCTTCTCTTTTGAGGCTGAACAGTATTCATTTGCATATATACACCCCAGTTTCTTTATCCACTGATGGACACTAAGTGGTAACTTTAACGTTATGTATTTTTTTAACCACAATTCCAAAAATAAAGAATTACAAAAAGTTCTGGGCATGAAGTTTAAGTAAGGCTAGGAAGAGAGTCAATGGCTGAGTGGGAAAAGGAGGCAAACGGTGTGTTTTAGAGTCACTCTTGAGGGAAAAGAGAGTCTCTAACTAAAATTCCATGGGCACTTTCTATTTGTCAGGTTCTATGCTAAAAGTTTTATACATGCATAACATCCCCTTCCATCCTCCCAATAGCCCTGTGAAATAAGTAGGATGAGGCAACTGAGAATAATAATAATAAAATGAATATTCTGCCAACATGCCCCGCTTCCTTTAAATCAGCTTTCAGAGAGCAGTCTCCTCTTCTCCAAATCTTCTGAGAGCCAGGTGGACACAGACCCAGCGCCAGCACAGCTGAGCCCATCCAGTGAAAGAGCAGCTTTAAATCACTTTTTAGCATTTGCATAGTATCTCACAGACTTAAATGAAATATTGTTTGGCTGTTTGTTATTTTCTTCCCTTATTCCTTCCTGTCTCTTTGTTAAGTACAATTATCGGCATAAAAGAGGTTTTTATTACCGATTTTTAGATTGCATTCCAGCCTGGGCAATAGAGCAAGACTCCTGTTCTCTCTCCCCCTTTTTCTTTCTCTTTCTTTCTTTCTCTANAAAAAAAAAAAAAAAAAAAGAGCAGCAAGGTGGCGGGGGTTGGGGGGGGCTGGGCCTGGGAGGTAAGCGCTCCTCTGGCACCTGCTCCTCCCCTACACCAGCTGGCCCAGGACTCAAGGATCAGAAGCTGAACTCCAACTAACAGAACGGCCTTCCCCTCAAGGAGAAGCCCCCAAAGCCACTCTCCCAGGTTGCACTACTGTTCCCAGTGCCTCATTGTGCACCACAGCCACACCTTATGTCATGAGACTTTGTAGTTCTGTCCACAAGAGGTAGAATATATCACCCCACCCCCACCCCACTGACAGTGGGCCCATGCCAACCTAGGCCATCAGAGCTTGTCCTCTTGCTCCTTCACCATCACCATAAGAATGAGGGCGCACGGAGCAGACCCGCTCTCACTGAGCTGCACCCTGGATTCAAACCCAACTGTGCCCAGTCTAGCTCAGCGACTACCAACCAGGGGTATGTGACTAAATGCATCACAATCATCTGTCTGTTGTTGTTGTTGTTGTTGTTTTAAAGCCCTGATTCATAGCATTTGCAATTTCCGTGGTGTAGATGCCAAATTGATCACGGCCAATGTCAAGGTACCATCATGATGTCACTGAACAAAGGTGGGAAGAGCTGCACAGTGGCACCCCCTCTTGAGTATTTCTACCATAGAGACACGACAGGCAGAAGCACCCTCAAGCTCAGAGCACAGCAGCATAGTTAGGAAGCAATGGAATCTGAATATTTAGTACCTTCAATTTTAATATGATTTCCTTAATTGTAAACTTATAGAATTTAATTGTTACTAATGGCAGTGTTTAACAACTGGATTACAAAACTCCTTATCATGAGTTAATACAGTAAGTACTAGTCGAAGTTAGGTCCAGCATATCACTCCCCCAGCTAAATCACAAATGTATGGATGGGAACAAATTATTAATCATGTTAAGCCTCTGGTTTTGGGGTGGTTTGTCACACAGCACTATAGCAGCAATAGCTAACTGAGACATTCACTCTAAAGCTGTCAAAATATCCATCAAAACGCTTTCTTCAGATTCTTAGCACAAGTCTATCTATGACTGTAGGGTCACATAGGAGGCTGTAACCTCATGAGGCTTGGGGTAGGCATCCCCTTACTCTGCCAAAGGATCTGATGAAATGGGACCTTTTGTGCTCTGATTCCAGTCTGAACACTGGACTGGGAGTCAGGACTCCCAACCTGTTTAAGATAATTTCCACTGTGTCCTTAGCCTTAACCCTGGATGTGTCACTATTTAGATGCACTGATGGCTCTCACTCCTGGCTGGGCTAACCTTGGTCCCTCTTGCTGGAGGTCCTGACCTCGGAGAATTGTACGAATATGGGCCTCCACTGCACAAGGAGCCATGGCCCTGCTGAAAATCTCAGCACCTTCTAATAGCCCCCCAGAAACACTTTATTTTCTATACTTTGTACTGGGGGGAAATTAGCATTCCCTTTTGTCTTTACAAACATTTAGTTATTCTGTAGCATGGAATATGCTTCCTTAACCTGCAAAACGCACCCAGACCCTCTTGGAAAGACACAATGCCCAGGAAGCAGGCAGTTTGATAAAAAACAACTTGCTAAACAAAACTGCAGAATGACCCCATTGCCAGATTCTGGAGGATGTTTTTGACATTTTCTGTCCACTGCACAGCCAGAACCTGTGTCTCTGGCCAGCCTGGCCCCACAGAGTGCAGTTTCCTGCATTAGCACGGGTTTTGGGCACCTGCCCATCACCAGTGCCCAGCTGTTTTCCATGGGTGGCCTGTTCTTACATGTGGCACCATGTTTATTTTCTGGATCTTGCCTTCTGCTTCTGGTCCCGCCAGCAGAATTCTTGCCCTTGACCAGGTTAACGAATTTGTCTGACAGTTCTGGATGGATTAGGCACTATGATGTCATATATATATATATATATATATATATATATATATATATACATGGTGTTATATACATATATATATGTTCCTGGCTACTAACTTGCATATTCCTTGTTATAATGTTGGGACACTTTAGGCCTCAGGAGATAATCTCTCTGTTCTTCTCCAGTCCTTGTTTCTCCTTCCCAAGGCAGGACTCTAATCTGACTGTGGATCAAAAGACCCTCATTCTAGAAAGGGTCCTGTCCCCCTACCCTAAACGAATGCGACACAGAGAGGCTAAGAAAAAGACAGGCCTTGCTGGGTTTAGATCATGGGCTTTTTCTCCAATCACCTTTCTATGCCTTTGTCAATCATGCCTATGTAATGAAGCCTCCATAAAAACCCAAGAGGACAGGGTTGGCGAGCTTCCCGATGGCTGAACACGGGGAGGTTCCTGGAGAGGGGGGCGCACAGGGAGGGCCTGGAAGATCCATGTCCCTTCTCCCATACCCCTTCCTATGACTCTTTTCACCTGTATTCTTTGTAATAAAAGCAGATAAATGTAATAGTGTTTCCTTGAGTTCTGTGAGCCATTCCAGCAAATTAAGCAAACCCAAAGATGGGGGTCATGGGAACCCTAACGTGAAGACATTCCATCAGAAGCTCGAGAGGCCTGGACTTGTGACCAGTGTCTGGGGGAAGACGGAGTATCCTTGAGGACTGAGCCCTCAACCTGTGGGATCTGAGGCTATCTCCTGGTAGGGGATGTCGAACTGAGCTGCAGAATACCCAGCTGACATCTGCTGCTCCCTGGTGGGGAACCCACCTGCCCACTTTTGATCACAGAAGTCTTCAGTGTTGTTTGCTGTGGTGTGAGAGCAAATGCAATTTGAAAGTTTTTCCCAAATAGCCACTCAGCATGGAGGCTTTTGGCTTCACTCATTTTTAGTAAATTGACCTACAGACCTTTTCACCTCCCCACCAGATAAGACTCCAAAGCCTACAGGATAATGTTCAGAAGTGTGAGCCTTGCATTCACGATTCCCCATTAGTGCCCTCATCTTTCACTGTATCTTCTCCCTACCAGCCCGCACATACACGACGTGCACCCTATTCTCAGCCCATAACTCACAGGGTTCCCCTGCCTCCCCTCCAGGCAGTGCTGCGCTGGAGCTGGCCCTCAGGTGTACAGGAGTCCTGAGTGCCTTTCTTCCCAACTCCGCCTTCAATGATTCCATCTTGGCAGCTTGTAGTTAGCAAACATTGGCAAAGATTACAAATCAAACCTATCCCCTCTCACTCCCCACTCCCTTAGGCTGGTGCTGAAGCATTTGCCAGTGTAGCAGCATTGCCTACAGACAGCAAATCCTGTCTACCAGTCCCTGTTGGCTGCTCAGAGAAGCTTTCCCTGACTCAGAGTGTCCAGTGGTTACTTCTTTCTTGGCGTTCACAATGTGTTCCTGCAAATGCTCATGTGGCAGCAGGCCAACAGGTATTTGACAATGTACTGCATACATCAGTGTGTGCATTCTCAGTGAAGACGATATTGCCCCACAGGGGACAAGCATTGGTTCTGAAGGGACAAAACAATCTTAGCTATTGCAGTGGTCTGTGGCTCTCCAAAGGGCCACAGCACATAAACAGATACACAGTGCACCAATGGTATTAAATGTCATGGCATGGGGGGACTAGGTGATTGAGGAAATAAAGTCAAAAAGGGCTCACTATGGGGCAGTCAGTGATCACGAAACAGGTTGAGAAACATTCCCCTAGTATATACAACGTGCAAGCGTGTGGGACACATCTGAATTTTATAGCATATTGTCTGGGAAAATACTAAGCAATTTGCTAACATGATAGATTGAATGTGATTTCTGAGTATTTGGGTTGCAGAGATTTTCTTCTGTTCATCACTGTGTGATGGAGACCCTGAAGGCCCTGTGGGATGACATGAACTTCCTCTTGCGGTTACGCCAGCAGCACATGGGGCACTGAAAATGGATCATCACGCTGCAAATGGGTAATGTTTACACTTCAACCAGTAGAGGAGTGACCAGGAAGACCAGCACTGAGGGTGTAGGTGCTCCTGGGAGACAGGTGCTGCAAGGCAGAGCTGAGCTTGGGCGCACAACTCTGCCTCCAGGGCCATGGTTGTGCTTCCTTCCATTCGTGGATGTGGTGGAGGGCACCGTGTGGCCATGAAATAAGAAAACTACTTCTTCATGGAAAACAGCCATCAGGGTCAGGCACAGTGGCTCATGCCTGTAATCCCAACACTTTAGGAGGCCGAGGCGGGAGAATCACTTCAAGTCAGGAGTTCGAGACCAGCCTAGCCAGCATGGTGAAACCCTGTCTCTATTAAAAATACAAAAATTAGCCGGGTGTGGTGGCAGGTGCCTGTTGTCCCAGCTACTTGGGAGGCTGAGTCAGGAGAATTGCTGGAAGCCAGAAGGTGGAGGTTGCAGTGAGCCAAGGTTACGCCACTGCACTCCAGCCTCTGGTCGACAGAGTGAGACTGTCAAAAAAAAAAAAAAAAAAAAAAAAAAAAAGAGTGATTCCCAAAGAAATGTCACTCTTGGGGGAAACAGAATCCTGGCGGAATCTTGGAAGCTGGGCATGCACTACTGCCATGTTTATGAACCGAGGATGCCTGAAGGTTTAGGGGAAGCCTTCTGAAATGCCAAAGATCTGCTACTACCACTGCCGAGAACCCACACCACTGGGCATGAGTGCTGTGGGCGGGAACCCTCTGGTGGCACAGTGTTCAGCATACCTGTGACTGGACTTTACAGCACCTATCTGAGAAGAGTGGAGAGTGATGGTGAAGGGGGCTGCTGAGCGGGGTGCTGAGCTGCTCAGTTTTGTGGATTCCACAGGCGTCTTGGGGCCAGGAGGTGCTGGGCTATGCGATGCATCCATCACCATCCCTGCCCTCCAGGAAATGACCAGTTAAATACAAAAAGTGAGGATGTGACAGTGTTGGGTGGTGCTGTGGGTAGTGTGGCACCCTTGGGCTGCACAGCAATGTTAGCCACACTGCACTGGGCTCCAAGCATTTTAAGAGACTATGAGATTTTTAACATCATATACATACAATGGGCCAGATTAGGTGGCTCACACCTGTAATTCCAGCACTTTGGGAGGCTGAAGTAAGAGGATCACTTGAGGTCAGGAGTTCGAGACCAGTCTGGCCCACTTAGTGAAACCCCATTTTTACTAAAAACACAAAAATTAGCCATGTGTGGTGGTGAGTGCCTGTAATCCCAGCTACTTGGGAGGCTAAGGCAGGTGAATTACTTGAATCCAGGAGGCAGATGTTGTAATGAACAGAGATTGTATCATTGCATTCCAGTCTGGGCAACAGAGCAAGACTCCATCTCAAAGTAATAATAATAAAAATATATATACAATGTTTATTTATTATTTATTTTTAGACAGGGTCTAGCTGTATTGCCCAGACTGGAGTATAATGATACGATCTTAACTCACTGAAGGCTCAAGTGATCCTCCCACCTCGGCCTCCTGAGTAGCTGAGACTGCAGGTGCTTGCCACCATGCTGGCTAATTTTGTATTTTTTGTAGAGATGAAATTTTGCCATATTGTCCAGGCTGGTCTCAAATTCCTGGGGTCAAGAGATCCTCCCTCCTTGGCCTCCCAAAGTGTTGGGATTATAGGCATGAGCCACTGTGTTGGGCCTACAATGTTTACTTTATTCCCTGAAACTTGAGAACCTAACCTCCCAGATAGGATGGGTCCACACTATCTCTGTATTTTCTCATTTAACCCTCGTAACCACCCCCCTGCCAGCAGGTAATGCATTATATCATCATTTCACCAAGATTTAAACCAGTCCTGAGTGGTTATAGAAACAACCACCCATGGCACCACCCAACACTGTCACATACTCACTTTTTGTATTTAACCTGATCATAGCCCAGTACCTCCTGGCCCCTGGAAGGCCTGGGGAATCCACAAAACTGAGCAGCCTAGCACCCAGCTCAGCAGCCCCCTTTACCATCACTCTTCTCTCTTCTGATAGGTGATGTGAAGTCCAGTTAATCCCATAGCTGTTTAGGGAGAAGCAGAGCCCACAGCACAAAGCCAGCCCCTGCAAGAGAATCAGGGCCTGTCTGCAAGTCAAAGGCCACCAGCCTCTGTGCACAAGAACTCAAGCATTTGGGATTCGATCAGTTCCAAAACTCAAGCATTGGCTGGGTCAGCAGTAACCATGCCCAGAGAGCCACAAAGAATCCCAAGGAATTTTGCTAAGTTGTCTAAATAAAACCCCCTTACCTTCTGGCCAGCCCGAAGTCAATGATCTTAATTTGATGTCCTGTCTGATTGACACACAGTATGTTCTCCGGCTGGGAAAGAAAGAAGTCTGCTTAGCCCAAGTAACAGCTAAAGAGGTCTGCAGCTGCCTCGCTTCTTTGTCTATAGGCCTCCGTTTTCCAGCCTTCAAGGCACCTGAATTGCTCAGGGCAGCCCTGCAGGGACTGGATAGATAATGAAAATACATGAAAGGGCTGGTGAGACAATTAGGATTGGCATGCACTGGAAAACTGGAGGCTCCCAGCCTGTATAAAGGGACAGCACTACTCAGTGCCAGCCACTGGTCACCACGTAGAAGTGCAGGCACAACGCCAGAGTTTCTCAGTCCTCAAGAGAAGCCAGGAATTCAGGGGCTTTTTGTTTGATTGGTTTTGTTTTTAATTAAAAAAATAGAGATGGGGTCTCGCCATGTTCCCCAGGTTGGTCTCGAACCCCTAGGGTCAAGAGATCCTCCAGCCTCAGCCTCCCAAAGTGCTGGGTTTACAGGTAAGCCACCATGCCCGGCTAGGAATTCAGGTTTTTATGTGAAAATTCCATGCTTTTAAACGTTAACAACTAAGTGAAATCTAAACTCACATCTGGAAGCCCAACAGAACACCTCTGTGATGTATATTTGGCCCATGAGCTGCTTGTGTGGGACTACTGGTTTGGGGCTGGCTTCCCAAACCTGGCTGTACATTGGAATCATCAGGGGAGTTTTTAAAATCCCAATGTTATACTGGAATGCTAAGAAAATTAAAAAAAAAAAAAAGTCCCAGTGCCCAAGCCTCAACCCTGACCAATTACATCAGAACCCCTGGGGTGACACCAAAGCATCACTGGCTGGTTAAGGAGAGCAGAGCTGCTGAATGTCCCCCTGCCTTTCTGCAGTGACAGCTGTGGCCCACGGCATGAGGCTGGCAGCCTTAGCACGCCTCTCCTCTTACAGCACTTGGATCAGCTCTGAGGCCCTGAGGGAACCTGGAAGGATGCTCGCTGCTTGTGCATGACAAATTTGGGTTTATGTGTGTTGGAGGCTTGGGGAGAGAAGCTGAATGAAGATCTAGGGCTTGTGATAGACAGGACTTGCAGACCCAGCGTCCAGTGCCTGAGCCACAGGGGCTCATTACCTGGTTCTGAGCCCTAGATGAGTCCCTCCCCATTCCTGAAGAATCAACGTCTCCATATGTAAAATAGGAGTAATAACCTCTTCCTGCCTGTGCCCCGGGAGGGTGTGAGGATCAAATGACATAATATGCATGAAACACTTTACAGCTTCCAAAGTAAATGTCTGCTAGTATTTCTCCCAACAGAAGACTTCATTGTTATTTGTGTTATAATGAGGTTGTACAATTCCTCAGACAGGTGGAGAGAATGGTGTTTAAAAATCTCTATGTCTTCTATATAAGATCTAGAATAACACTGTCCAATAAAAATGTAATGCGAGCCACATATAAAGTTTTCTAGCATGCACATTTAAAAAGGTCAAAAGAAACAGTGAACTTAATTTATAACATTATGAATAATACAATTAATACTGTTTTTTACCATAAAACTCACCATTTTAAAGTATGCAATTCAGTGATTTTTAGTATATTCACAGAGTTGTGCAATGATACCACTATCTAATTTTGGAACATTTTCATCACCTCAAAAAAACAAACAAACCCATACCCATCATCAGTCCCTGTCCATTCTCCCCTCACTTCCCACCCTCTGGCAATCATTAATGTATTCTCTCTGTGGATTTGCCTATTCTGGACATTTCATATAAATGGAATCATAAAACATATGGCCTTTTGTGTCTGGTTTCCTTCACCTACCAGAATGTTTTCAAGGTTTATCCATGTTGTGTAGCACATATCAGTCCTTCATTCCTTTTCATGGCTAAATAATATTCCATTGTATGGATTAGACCATATTTTATTTATCCATTAACTAATAAAGTTAATGAACATCTGGGTTGTTTACACTTTTGGCTATTGTATATAATGCTACTAAAAACATTTGTATGCAAGTTTTTGTGTCAACTTATATTTTAATTCTCTTAGGTGTATACCTAGGAGTAAAATTGCTGGGTTAAATGGTAATTCTATGTTTAGCATTTTTGGGAACTGCCAAACTTTTAAAAAAGTGAATGTATAATTTTACAACCCCACCAGCAATGTATGAGGGTTCTGAATTTTCCATATCCTAGCTAACCCCCTTTTTTTTTTCAGATGGAGTTTTGTTCTTGTTGCCCAGGCTGGGGTGTAATGGCGCGACTGGCTCACTGTACCTCTGCCTCCCGGGTTCAAGCGATTCTCCTGCCTCAGCCTCCCGAGTAGGTGGGATTACAGGCATGTACAATAATGCCCAGCTAATTTTGTATTTTTAGTAGAGACAGGGTTTCTCCAAGTTGGTCAGGCTGGTCTCGAACTCCCAATGTCAGGTGATCCGCCCACCGTGGCTTCCCAAGGTGTAAGCCACCGCACCTGGGCTTTAACACTTCTTATTGTGTGTCATGTTTATAGTCAGTCTAGCGGATATGAAATACTGATTTTGATTTACAATTCTGTAACGAGGCTGAGAATGACTTCTTGTGCTTAGTGGCAATTGTATGTTTTTATTGGATAAATGTCTATTCAAATCCTTTGACCATTTTTAATTGGTTATTTGTCTTTCCATTGTCTAAATACAAATCCTTTATCTGATACATGATTTGGAAATATTTTCTCCCATTCTGTGAGCTATTATTTTACTTTTCTCATGGATCCTTTGAAGTATGAAGTTTTTTCATTTTGATGAAGTCTAATTCATCTCTTTTTTTTCTTGATTATGTTTCTAGTGTCGTATCTAAGACACCATTGCCTAATCCAAGGTTATAAGGATCTATTCCTATGTTTTCTTCTAACAATTTTATAGTTGTAGCTCTTAAATTTACATCTACGATCCATTTTGAATTAATTTTTGTATATGGTGTTAGATAAGGGTCCAACTTCATTCTTTTACATGTAGCTCCGTAGCATGGGGTCCCAGCACAATCGTTGAAAAGACTGTAATTTTCCCATTGAATTGTCATGGCACCATTGTCACAAATCAAATGACCATAAATGTAATGGTTTATTTCTAGACTCTCAAGTGTATTAATTAGATGCATATATCTAATCTTACATCAGTAATACATTGTTTTGGTTTCTGTAGCATTGTAGAAACTTTTCAAATTGGGAAATGTTAGTCCTCCAAATCTATTCTTTTTCAAGATTGTTTTTGTTATTCTAGGTCCCTTGAATTCCCATCTGAATTTTAGGATTTCATTAATATCTGAAAAGAAGCCAGCTATGACTTTGTTAAGGATTATGTTGAGTCTGTGGATCAATGGGAGAGTCACCTTAACAATATTACATTTTCCTATCCATGACCATGGGATGGCTTTCCATTTGTTTAGGTCTTTGAATTATTTTAAAATTTTGTTGTAGTCTTCAGAGTATGTCTTGCACTTATTTTGTTAATTTTTTTCTAAGTATTTTACTCTTTTGATGCTGTCACAAATGAAATTATTTTCTTAATTTTATTTACAGATTGTTCAGTCCCTGTATTTAAAAATACAATTAATTTGGCTTTTATTGCATTTGCTTTTGGGTTCTTGCTCATGAAATCCTTGCCTAAGCCAATGTCTAGAAGGGTTTTTCCAGTGTTGCCTTCTAGAATTTTTAGTTTCAGGTCTTAGATTTAAGTCCTTGATCCATCTTGAGTTGATTTTTGTATAAGGCGAGAGATGAGGATCCAATTTCATTCTCCTACATGTGGCTTGCCACTTATCCGAGCACCATTTGTTGAACAGGGTGTCCTTTCCTCAGTTGATGTTTTTGTTTGCTTTGCTGAAGATCAGCTGTAAGTATTAGAGTTTATTTCTGGGTTCTCTATTCTTCTCTATTAATCTATGTGCCTATTTTTATGACAGTACCATATACTACTCAGCCATAAAAAGGAATGAATTAATGGCATTTACAGTGACCTGGGTGAGATTGGAGACTATTACTCTAAGTGAAGTAACTCAGAAATAGAAAACCAAACATTGTATGTTCTCACTCATATGTGGGAACTAAGCTATGAGGATGCAAAGGCATGAGAAAGACACAATGGACTTTCGGAACTCAGAGGCAAAGGGTGGGAAGAGATTGAGGGATAAAAGACCACAAATTGGGTGCAGGGTATACTGCTCAGGTGATAGGTACACCGAAATTTCACAAATCACCATCAAAGAACTTACTCATGTAACCAAACACCACCTGTTCCCCAATAACCTGTGGAAAGAATAATTAAAAAAAAAAATTTAAGCCAAGCGTGGTGGCTCACGCCTATAATCCCAGTAATTTGGGAGGCCAAGGTGGGCAGATCACTTATGCCCAGGAGTTCAAGACCAGCATGGGCAACATGGTGAAATCCCATCTCTACAAAAAAATACAAAAACCAGTTGCACATGGGGCACTCATCTGTAGTCCCAGCTACTCAGGAGGCTGAGGTGGGACGACCCCTTGAGCCCAGGAGGTTGAGGCTGCAGGGAGCTGTGATCACGCCACTGCACTTCAGCCTGGGCAACAGAGGAAAACCCTGTCTCAAAACAAACAAACATACATTTGGTATAATTCACCAGTGAAGCCATATGGACCTGGGCTTTGCTTTGTAGATAGTTTTTGGTTACTAATTCAATCTTTCATTGTTACAGATCTATTCATATTTTCTATTTCTTCTTAAGCTAATTTCTTAGTTTGTGCTTCCTAGAAATTGGTCCATTTCATCTAGATGATCTGCCTTATTGGCATACAATTTTGTTTATCATATTTCTTTATAAACCTTTTTTTTTTTTCTGTAAGACCAGTAGTAATGTCCCCTCTTTTATTCCTGATAACTTCTCTTTCTCTTGGTTAGTATAACGAAATATTTGCCAATTTATTGATCTTTCTAAAGAACTGACTTTTGGTTTTAATGATTTTCTCTATTGTTTTCTGTTTTATTTTATTTTTTATACTACAATTTTTATTTCTCTCATTCTGGTTGCTTTGAGTCTAACTTGCTGTTCATTTTCTAGTGTCTTTTTCCTCCCTTTGAGAGAGGATCCTGCTCAGTCGCCCAGGCTGGAGTGCGGTGACCCAATCATACCTCACTATAGCCTCCAACTTCTGGGCTCAAGAGACCCTCCTGCCTCAGCCTTCCAACCAACCAGAACTACAGGCATGCACCACTATACCTGACTATTTAAAAAAAATTTCTTTTTGTAAAGACAGGGTCTCATTATGTCACCCAGGCAAGCCTCAAACTCATGGCCTTATCCTTCCTTGGCCTCCCAAAGTGCTGGGATTACAGATTAATAATGTATTTTATTTAACCCGACATATCTGAAATATTATCACTTCAATAAGTTATCAATACAAAAATATTGATGTGATTGTGTCCATTATTTTTCATATTAGGTCTTTGAAATCCAGTGTATATTTTACACGTACAGTGTATCTCAATTCAGACCTTAAGTTTTCATCAGAAATATTTGATCTGTATTTAGATTTCAAGAAATTTAGAGTTGAAACGTAAATTCATATATCCAAGTTGTTCCAAATAGTTTTCCAATAACTGAATCAAGGGTCAGTTTATTAATTTAAATTAACAAAATGTAAAGTTCAGTTAGTCACACTAGCCACATATCAAGTGCTTAGTGGCCACATATGGCTCATGGCTACTGTCTCAGACACTGTAATTCTGGAGCTTTTTCTCTATATTTAAGACAACACCCTAGGAGGTAGGTGTGATTTTTCCCTATTTCACAATTGATGAGCTTAAGGAACTTTCTCCAAGTCTCACAACTGGAAGGGGCTGAACCCCCACAGCCCTGCTCCCAGCTGGGAAAAAGCCTCAGCAGTGATCTCCTCTCTGCTGCAGCCACGGGCGGTGCCCCAAAGGCTGGTCTTTGCCCCGGAATCACAGGGCAGGTTCCTGAGGTTTCCCTGGCTGCCCACCCCAGAGCAGCTGGTGCAGGATGCTTGGAGTGAGCTCTAATGAGTGAAAGGGGCCTAAAGCCAATCCCGCCAACCCTTTTTTTCCAAGCACCCCACCTTACAGTCTGATGTCCACTGGGAAAGATGGTCAGAAGGGGCAATGTGCACCCTCAGAGATGCAGTCAACTCACCGCCCTTCTTCTGTGGGAAGTCGCCAACATTCACCCCCTTCCCGAAATGAGTTGTAAAGAAACACCCTCCTGTTGGCCCAGAGGAATGGAAAATCAGAGAAACAGCCACCGTGTCTCAAGTGCTTGCTATCAGCCAGGCACGGTGCCCAGGGCGTTATGTACCTGACACTCCCAGGGCACTCCTAGTAGACAAAAAAAGTGGAATTCAAATGTGTATTCACTCCATAGAGTATCACACAGCCCTTATAGAGAATGAAGAAAGATGTCTATACTGTGTTACTAACAAAATCAAGATTAAAAACAAGATGTGGGCCAGATGTGGTGGCTCACGCCTATAATCCAAGCACTTTGGGAGGCTGAGGCAGGATTGCTTGAGTCCAGGAGTTCACAACCAGCCTGGGCAACATGGTGAATCTTTGTTCCTATAAAAAATACAAAAAGTAACCAAGTGTGGTGGCATGTGCTTGTAATCCTAGCTACTTGGGAGGCTGAGGTGGGAGGATCACTTAAGCCTGGGCAGTTGAGGTTGCAGTGAGCTATGATGGCACAATTGCACTCCAGCCTGGGCAACAGAGGGAGGCCCTGTCTCCAAAAAAGAAAGACAAGAGAGAAAGAGAGAGAGAGAGAGAGACAGAGACAGAGAGAGAGAGAGAAGGGAGGGAGGGAGGAAGGAAGAAAGAGAGAGAAAGAAAGAAAAAGAAAAGGAAGAAGGAAGAAAAGAGAAAGAAGAAAGAAAAAGAAAGGAAGGAAGGAAAGAAAAAGAAAGAAAGAAAGAAAGAAAGAGAGAAAGAAAGAAGAAAAGAAAGAAAGAAAGAAAAAGAGAAAAGAAAGAAAGAAAGAAAAGAAAAAAAGAAAAGAAAAGAAAAGAAAGGGAAAGAAGAAACAAAAGCGAGAAAGAAAGCAAAAGAAAGGAAGAGAGGGAGGGAGGGAGGGAGAAATGCACTGTAGGGTCTCTTTTGTGTGTCTGTGAGTCATACAAGCTTGCTCACAGAGAAGTCCCCTCAGCATGGAGGCCTGGAGGGAGAAACTTTCACTGTGTATTTTACATACTACTCTATTGTCTATATTTGTTACCACAGCCTATGTTCCCTTTTGAACTCTTCAAAAAACTAATCTTAAAGGTATTTTTAAAGAAGAAAAGCTCATTGTTTTGTAAAGAAGAAAAGCTCACTGTTTCACTCAATCTTCAAATAACACTTAAAAGAGGTACAATTATCCAGATGGAAGAACTACAGCCCCCAGAGGCAGCAAGAGTGGCCTGTCCCAGACTCCAGAACTCGGAGATAGAGAGCCAGGAATGGAAGCCAGGGCTGTCTGTGGACAGAGCTGTCAATGATGAGAGCATGCCAGGGGCTCAAGCACCAGGGGCCCTCCTCTGCGTGCCCAGGGCAGAACCCACCTTAAGGTCCAGGTGCAGGATGTAGTGCTGGTGCAGGTAATGCACGCCCTCACAGATCTGCCTGGTGAACAGGACCACATCCAGCTCGGTCAGATGGTACTTCTCGTCTGTGATCCGGTCAAAGAGCTCACCTCCGTCCACACTGCCAGAGCAAAGGGAGAGGCAGGCACCAGCCTGAGCAAGGCTCTTCAGGGCTTGTCTACTGTCATCATGAGGCCAAAAGACGCCAGCCTGGTAGGCCCACAGTCATACTCCGTGGGTCACAGGGCTGCTGCCACTGCCACTGGGGTTTTTTGTGTGTTTTTTCTGAGATGGAGTCTCGCTCTGTCACCCAGGCTGGAATGTAGTGGCATGATCTCAGCTCACTACAACCTCTGTCTCCCAGGTTCAAGTGATTCTCCTGTCTCAGTCTCCTGAGTAGCTGGAATTACAGGCGCCTGCCACCACACCCAGCTAATTTTGGATTTTTTGGTTTGAGACAGAGTTTTGCTCTTGTTGCCCAGGCCAGAGTGCAGTGGCATGATATTGGCTCACCGCAACCTCACCTTCCAGTTCAAGCAATTCTCCTGCCTCAGCCCCCTGAGTATCTGGGTTTACAGGCATGTACCACCAGGCCTGGCTAATTTCGTATTTTTAGTAGAGACAGGGTTTCTCCATGTTGATGAGGCTGGTCTTGAACTCCCGAACTCAGGTGATCTGCCCGCCTCAGCCTCCCAAAGTGCTGGGATTACAGGCGTGAACCACCGTGACTGGCCAAGTTTTGTATTTTTAATAGTGACGGGGTTTCGCCATGTTGGCCAGGCTTGTCTTGAACTCCTTACCTCAGGTGATCTGCCAGCCTCGGCCTCCCAAAGTGCTGGGTTTACAAGCATGAGCCACCACGCCAGGCCTGCCATTGGGATTTTATTGGGACCTTTGCTCCAGTCCACCCCCAGCACAGATTAGGGGTGGTAAAAAGGAAATGTTAGGTCAAAGGGAAGAGGGGATGGCCATCAATGTTGATGATCCAGGCACACTCCAGGGCTGATGATCCTGACCAGGGCGCGAACTCATTTGCCTATGGAGGCCAACTCAGACCTTTGCGGCATAAGGCTAAGTGGGCTGATCTGGCCATACGTGAAGCAAACATTTTCTTTTCTTTTTTTTTTTTGAGACAGAGTCTTGCTCTGTCACCAGGCTGGAGTACAGTGGCACAGTCTCAGCTCACTGCAACCTCTGCCTCCCCGGTTCAAGCAATTCCCCTGCCTCAGCCTCCTGAGTAGCTGGGACTACAGGTGCTCACCACCACACCTGGCTAGTTTTGTTGTTGTTGTTGTTTTGTTTTTTTGGTTTTTGTTTTTTGTTTTTTTAGTAGAGACCGGATGCCATCATATTAGCCAGGATGGTCTCGATCTCCTGACCTCGTGATCCACCTGCCTCAGCCTCCCAAAGTGCTGGGATTACAGGCGTGAGCCAACGTGCCCAGCCGAAGCAAACATTTTCTAACAACATATAGTCTTTTGCTTATCTTTTGTTTTTCCACTTTTGATAGGGACATGACATAACAAATTAAAATTACTCTCTTCAGCTCTGCCTGGAAGGAAAACAGCAACACAAGCACAAATATGAACGACCGCTGAGCCCTTGGCCCCAGTTCTAGGGCGGTTGGGAGTGGTGGGGATTGTGGCAAAGGAAGCCTGGTCACCCTGTCTATAAATGGCAGTCCCTGGGACTCCAGCACATCATTTCCACTTGGAAAGGCAGGCCTGGCATTTACTGCATCTTTTCCAATTTCAAGAAAAGCCAGATATCTAGGTTTTAATGTGAAGCTAAACTATTTCCAATGGTTAACAACTATTCCACATTACTAAAAATAGGCAGAGTGTGGTGACTCACACCTGTAATTCCAGCACTTTGGGAAGCTGAGGTGGGAGGATCACTTGAATTCAGGGGTTCAAGACCAGCCTGGGCAACATAGCAAGACCTCATCTCTACAAAAAGTTTTAAAAATTAGCTGGGTGTGGTGGCATGTGCCTGTGGTCACAGCTACACAGGAGGCTGAGGTGGGAGGATCACTGGAGCCTAGGAGTTCAAGGCTGCACTGAGCTGTAATCACACCACTGCACTCCAGCCTGGGCAACAGAGACCTTGTCTCTAAAAAAAATTTTCAATTCAATTTAATTTTCAAAAAATTACTGAAAATAGTATAGGACAATTGACATACATACACCTGCAGGTCACATCAGGCTTACTGGCCACTGGTTTGTGACAAAGTGGCTTTGTCCTCCACATTTCATATTGGAGGTCAAAAAGCCAAGCCAGTGAAGACAGGATGGCATGACCCTGGATGTGGCAGGGAGGGGAAAGGACAGAGAGGGCTTTGCCTCAAATGAAGGCTCTAAGCCCCAGCACCGAGCCCTGGCCTGAGCCAAGGCGGCCGCCCCGCCTCCAGTACTCACTACTCCATGATGAGGGTGCAGCTGTGCTTGCTCTCGAAGGCGTCATAGAGCTGGATTAGGTTCACGTGGCTGAGCTGGTTCATGATGTTGATCTCATTCTTCACATCCTCCTTGGGGAACCAGAGGACAGAGGGATTTCCAAGCGAATGGGTCAGGAATAGAAGCCCCCTGCACCTCCCAGGACAGACACAGAACTCCGCATCCTTCCTCAGTTTCCTATTCTCATACCAGGTCTCCCTGACTCAACACCCAAACCAGACTACAACACAAAGGGCCTGAGTGTGACCCACTCATCTCACAGACAGGAAACCCAAGGCCCAATAAGGACAGAACCTTCTTATCCCGGGCTCCGCAGGGTGCGGTGCCTGGACCCCTGCACATGGTGGGTGGGTCTGAACCCAGGGCTGTGAAGGGAACTTCCTGACTGGAGTGTGGGAATCCCGGAAAAGAGCAGGAAAAGTAGAATTTCCAGCTCAGCATGGGAACCTAGGAGCCCTGAGAGAAGGGAAGGAATCCTGAGGCTGGCAAGAGGGACCCGGCCTGGCCAGATGCCTCACCCGGTCCTTGGCACACTTCACTTTGATGATCTTGGCAGCCAGTGGGAGGCCTGTGGATTTCTCTGTGCACCTGTGGACCTGGCCAAACCGGCCCCTGCGGAGACACGGCCACACAGCAGGCTGAGAGCCAGAGGCTCACCCCACATCCATCCCTGGGCTTCTGGGCCGACTCCTCCACACACAGGCCATGTGGAACAGCCTACACCCCAGAATGCAGCCCGTCACCACCCCATAACCCTGCTGGCTATCCTGAAACTTACAAAGCAACTCTTCACCCCACACGACCCAGGCCATCCTGCACCCCAGGGAACATCCCCTCACCCCACACGACCAGGGTTATCTATCCTGCACCCCAGGGAACATCCCCTCACCCCACACCACCAGGGCTATCTATTCTGAACCCCAGGGAAGATCCTCTCACCCCACACCACCCAGGCCATCCTGTACCCCAGGGAACATCCCCTCACCCCACACCACCAGGGCTATCTAGTCTGAACCCCAGGGAACATCCTCTCACCCCACACCACCAGGGCCATTTATCCTGAACCCCAAGGAACATCCTCTCACCCCACACCACCCAGGCCATCCTGCACCCCAGGGAACATCCCCTCACCTCATACGACCAGGGTTATCTATCCTGAACCCCAGGGAACATCCCCTCACCCCACACGGCCAGGGCTATCTATTCTGAACCCCAGGGAACATCCTCTCACCCCACACCACCAGGGCTATCTATCCTGAACCCCAGGGAAGATCCTCTCACCCCACACCACCCAGGCCATCCTGCACCCCAGGGAACATCCCCTCACCGCATACCACCAGGTTTATCTATCCTGAACCCCAGGGAACATCCCTTCACCCCAAACCACCAGGGTTATCTATCCTGAACCCCAGGGAACATGCCCTCACCCCACACCACCAGGGTTATCCATCCTGAACCCCAGGAAACATTCCCTCACCCCACACCACCCAGGCCATCCTGTACCCCTGGGAACATCACCCACCTCACACCACCTGGGCCATTCTGTACCCTAAAGAACCTCCTCCTCACCCCACCCCATGTCAGCTCTCCGGCCACCACCAGGTTGTACCTCCCACACCCACAGGGTGCTCGCCCTCCCAAGCCTCCCCTCCCCAATGCCACAGGGGATCTCCCGTCCTCTCAGGCTATTCTCTTTCTCCCTCTCCGTGGGCCATCATGCACCCCACACTGTATGGCATGCCCCACCCTAGCCTTGGCTCCGTCAGTCCAAGAGCCATCCCGCAGCGCCCAGCCCAGTTCTCCAGGTGATCCAGACCCATGGTTCCTGCTCTGAGCCCCTTCCCTTAGCAAGGCAGATGCCCACCTACCCTCCCAAGACTTCGTGCTGGCACACCTCGTAACCCGCCGAGATAGAGGTCTCCTTGACGCTCACCACCCGGTGTTCAAAAGGAGCTGGCGGGGCCGGACTGTCATCTGCTCAGGAGGCAATAGAGGCCCGTGAGCCTCCTCTGCACAGCCCACACCTCTCAGCCACCTGTGCCTGACCCATTTAGCTTCCCTTAGTCCACCAAACCCTTCGTACAGCCCTGGTATTTGAAACCTTTCCCCCAAAACCATCTCAGTGGAGCCACCCGTTTGGCAGAGAAGGAAGCTGAGTGTCAGAGAGGTGAGGTGACCACCGAGGCCACACAGGGAGCACATGACAGATGGCACTCAAACCTGGGTATCCCAGCACCCAGGACAGTGACCTTGGCAAGGCCGAGAAGTTCTATCCAATCTGTTCATCTAGAAGGCGATCCTAGTGGATCTGCGTGGCTCGCAGGAAACAGAGAGCCCACGTGGACAGGATGATGGGGCAGTTAGTGACGCCATTTTTAAAGGGACTGTTAAGTCAGGGCTGTGGAAACTCACGAGGGTGTAATGAGAGGGAGGCAACTGGAGAAATAAACACCCACCCTCTCTCCTCTCACCCTCCATCTCCTGCCAGCTGAGCCCAACCAGAAGCTCAGAGTGACAGCCAGTGATGAAGGGGGGGCAGGTCCAGGGTCACAGGATTGGGGAGGGGGTGGGCAGGGGATCTGTCTGGAAGGGAAACAGAAGACAGCGAGCACTTGGAAAGGTTTTTTTTTTTTTGGTTTGTTTTTTGTTTTTAGGGTTGTTTTATTTTAATCTTGTACTTCAGAGGTGATAGGAATACCTAGAATTGTTATAGGAAATAGACTAGGTGGATAAAGCAGAATCTAGAACACACAGAAAGTGCAGTGGCATGAACCGGTGGTGCACTAAGGGCTGGAAGGCGCCATGGCGGGAAGTCAGCTCTGGCTGGTGTCTGTTCAGGGCTTGACATGGGCACTCTGCCTGCTCTCCAACTACCATGAGCACTGGGGGTGGTCTGTGGACAATTCTCAGACCAAAGAGGTTGCGACCCTAGGGCTGGAGGGATTGAGGGCCTTTAGGTCACAAGAACACACCCTGGGTCACTAGCCCGAGTGGGTGGGAACATCTAACAGTGGTCACAGACACCAATTCATGTCTTTGCTTTTTAACAAAAGCCTTCTCTGTCTCAATCCAAAATGAGACTCATGATGGCAAGCTCAGGTGGGCAGGTGGCGGTAAGAAATCTCCCCAGTGGCTGGGCACAGCAGCTCGTGTCTGCAATCCCAAAGCTCTGGAAGGCCGAGGCTGGAGGATCACTTGAACCCAGGTCAAGGCTGCAGGCCAGTGCACTCCAGCCTGGGCAACAGAGTAAGACCCTGTCTCCAAAAAAAGAAATGTACCCAGGTGGGCCACACATATTCCCTCTCCCTTAGCCCTGCAGCCTGTCCGAGTTCAGGCCCCGAATCTCTGTGCCTTGGTCTTCAGCCCCAGGATGTACCAGAGATGTTCCCGACTCTTGGATGCCCCCAGACCCATATGATCTATCCTTGGAAGCCACAAGAAGACTCCCCAGGAGTAGGGGCTCCAAACTTCCCTTAGGGTTCATGTCTAGCCAAGCAACAGCCCCACTTACCCAGAACCACGCTTCCAGCCTCAGCGTCCGGGGGTGTCCTCCTTATTGCTTCAGCTCTCCCTGGGGACCTGGCTGCACAGTCCTCCCCAGGCTCAGGGTTTCCCACTCCTGGGCCTTTGTCCTGCTGCATGTCCACGGCCTCAGTCACGTGGTCACTGTCATCCCTCCTGGCCAAGCCTGGTCCTGTGCCAGGCTCAGCCCCAGCCCTTTGCTCTTCCTCTGCCTTCGTTCCCACGGGGCTGCTGCTCTCCTGCAGCAGGGAGAGCTCTCTGGCTCCTTCAGGGATCTGTTCTCTGAACTCAGTCCCAGGGGCTTGGAGGCAGCGCCTGGCCCCAGGTGGGCCCTGCCTGACTGGCTGGGCAGCTGCTGGAGCCTCTGTGGCAGGGGGGGGTCCGAGGCTTCCCCTGCATGTCACCAGCATCTCCCCAGGAGTACCCATCTCTCGCATGTGGATGGAGATCCTGGGGTGGAGAGAAACAAGGTGCCAAGGTTAGAAGCAAGGACTCCAGAGTCAGAACAGACCTGGGTTCCAATGCCCACTGCTGCCATCACTGACAATGGCCCTGGCGCCCTGCCAGACAGGACACCAGAGCAGAAGCTGGCTTCAGTGGCAGTTAGTGCCATCAGCTCTCAGGATCCCACTGGACGACAGTCCAGGGAAGCTTGAGGGTGGACAGGGGTGAAGACCAGACACCCCTGAGAACCTGCTTCTGCCCTAGGAGGACTGAGGCCTGTAGACGGGAGACCCGGGTAGCTCTACCTTCCCGTGGGCCCAGTTTCCCTTTCACTTAAATGAAGAGGAGAAACCAAGTCAAATATCATACTGGAAGCCCAGGTCAGAAGTATTTGTTTAAAATCAGTCAATTCCAGCTGGGCACAGTGGCTCACACCTGTAATCCCAGTGCTTTGGGAAGCCAAGGTGGGAGGATCCCTTGAGGCCAGGAGTTTGAGACCAACCTGGGCAACATGGAGAGATACCATCTCTACAAAAAAATAATTTTAAAAAACTTAGCCAGGAGTGGTGGCACCTGAGGTTCCAGATACTTGGGAAGCTGAGGCAGGAGGATTGCTTAAACCCAGGAGTTGGAGGCTACAGTGAGCTATGATCATACCACTGCACTCCAGCCTGGGTGACAGAGTGAGAGACTCTGTCTCAAAAAATAAAATAAAATCAGGCAATTCTCATACAAGACTAGACTTTCTGTTTCTCTTGAACAAATGTAAGAGCTGGCTGTGCTGGATCCACGTGTCCATGTGACTGAAGAACAGCTCTGCACCTCAGCACAGGCCCTGCACACCCTGGCAATTCCCCAGCTCACTTCACTCAGTTTCACTGCCCAGACCCTGCAGAACTGGGGTTTGTGAGCCCAGATGGAGGTGGGAAAGGCTCTCTGAGCTCCAACCTCCCAAAGGAAGGATCCTGATCCTGGCAGCCAGATCATCCAGGAATCCAGACCCTCCCTCTCTAAGTCTCCCCAACTCTGGCTGCCTCTCAGTGGGGCTTCTTTTTGCTGGGCCATAATCCATAGCATGGGGTCTATGTGTGTTGTGGGGTAGGGTGATGGTGTCTGGCGGGGACTGAGTCTCAGCAGGGAGGCAGGTGGCCTCGATTCTGGGCTTAGCCCTGCCATTGGGTTGCTGGACAGCTTTGGGTAAGTCCAGCCTCAGTTCCCTTTTGTGTCATCGGGGACGGTGATACCTCACAGATGCACCAAGAGTCAACCAAGAGAGGAAGGCACAAATGCAGGGGTTCAAAAGGCCTAAAATGGCACAACTGCTGTGGAAAACTGGAGGCTCTTCAGAAATTAAAAGTAGGATTACCATATATTTCAGCAACTCCACTTCTAGGTATATATCCCAGAGAATCCAAAGCAAGGTCTCCAAGAGATATGGCCACACTCATGACTGTAGCAGCATTACTCACAACAGCCAACAGGTGGAAGCAGCCCAAATGCCCAGTGACAGATGATGCATAGACAGAAGATGGTGTACACACACCTCAAAATACTATTCATCCTTAAAAAGGAGGATGTTCCAACACACACTACAGCGTTGATGGACCCTGGGGACACTGTACTCAGTGAAATGAGCCAGGCACAAAAAGACAAATCCAGCGGTGGGCCCAGTGGCTCCCATCTGTAATCCCAGCACTTTGGGAGGCCAAGGAGGATGGATCGCCTGAGGTCAGAAGTTTGAGACCAGACTGGCCAACACGGAGAAATCCCATCTTTACTAAAAATACAAAAACTAGTCAGGTATGGTGGCATGCACCTGTAGTCCCAGCTACTTGGGAGGCTGAGGCAGGAGAATCTCTTGAACCTGGGAAGTGGAGTTTGCAGTGAGCTGAGATCATGCCACTGCACTCCAGCCTGGGTAACAGAGCGAGACTCTGTCTCGCAAAAAAAAAAAAAAAAAAAAAAAAAAAAAAAAAAAAAAAAAAAAAAAAAAAAAAAAAAAGACAAATCCTGTATGATTCCACTGATATGAGGACCCTTGAATACTCAGATTCACAGAGAAAGAAAGTACAATTGTGGCCGTTAAGGGCTGAGGGGTGGGAGGTGTTATTTAGTGGATGATGAATCTCAGTTTTGTGAGATGAAAACGTCCTGGAGATCTGTCTCACAACAACATGAATAAACTTAACACTACTGAGCTGTATACTTTAAAAAGGCTAAGATGGGGCTGGGCATTGTGGGTCAGACTATAATCCCAGCACTTTGGGGGGCTGAGGCAGGAGGATCGCTTGAGGCCAGGAGTTTTAGACCAGCCTGAGCAACACAGTGGGACCCATCTCTACAGAAAAAATAAAAAATTAACCAGGCATGGTGGCACATGCTTGTAATCCCAGCTATACTGCAGGCTGAAGTGGGAGAATCACTTGAGCCCTGGAGGTGGAGGCAGCAGTGAGCCGAGATGGCACCACTGCACACCAGCCTGGGTGACAGAGTGAGACCCTGTCTCAAAAATAAAAAAAAAGGGGGGTGCTGAGATGTTAAATTTTATGTTATGTGGTTTTTATCCCAATTTTTGGAAAGAAAATAGTGAGGCCCTTCTCCAGCAGCTGAAAGCCCCGTCCTCATGTCTGAGCTGCTGGACCTCTATACACATCTGTCCCTGGGTGCATCTGAAAGACTCATTGGGTGGGAGGTAGAAATTCTTCTAACACAGTGCCTTGGGACTGAGCATGGTTCGGTAATGACAGGTAGGAGGGGAAGTGTGGCATCCACGCCAAGCCACTCCAAATGTAGCTCAGGTCTCCTGCCAGACCAAGGGACACAGGAAACTGCTGCCAGCAATGGTCGGCAGAGAAGGCCAGCAGTCACGACTTCCCTTTGGGTCTTCACATCCAGAGGCATGGGGTGAACCCCCCAAAGGCACTTCCAAGCAGCTCCTGCCATCTTGAGCACCCAAAGCTGTCCACTTGCTGTGCAGCAGACCCATGGCAGGCAGTACTGACCAGTTCCAGCTCAGGGCTGCCCAGCCCAGGCATGGCCTCAGCATCCCTTGGGTTTGTTTGTTGTTATTGTTTGTTTGAAATAGGGTCTCACTCTGTCTCCCAGGCCAGAGTGCAATGGTATGATCATAACTCACTACAGCCTCAACTTCCTGGACTGAAGCGATCCTCCCACCTCAGCCTCCCCCGTAGCATGGATTATAGGTGTTTGCCACCACGTCCATGGTAGCCCAGATAATTTTTGTAGAGATGGGGTCTTGCTTGGTTGCCCAGGCTGGCCTCAAGCTCCTGGGCTCAAGCGATCCTCCCTCCTTGACCTCTCACTGGGCTGGGATCACTGGCATGAGCCACAGCGCCCGGCAGGATCCTCTGCAGAGGCAGCCACTGCCTGTCAGAGCTGATGCTTGACTTCCAACCTATTTTCCTCAAAATACGCCCATGTCCGAAGTGAAGACGGGCAGGTAGTGATCTCACTTCCTCAGGCCGCCGCAGGTCTGCTGGACGTGAAATTCAGCCAGGGGCTGAACCTGAGATAGAGAACTTTTCTCTCTCAGAATCTTTTGCGGGCCCCTAACAACTTCGTAGGCAGTTCACCCCCAGACCCAGATTCCATATTTAGGTCCTGGTTCCGATCCCAGGATGCCTGCCAAGAACCCCTCCCACCAGCCTGTTAGGCCTCCTGAAGCTCCCATTTCCTATTAGAACAAAGTCGGACAAATGATTTGGACTTCTCTGCCTGTCACCACAGCAAACACGACACCAGATCCACTCCCTGAGCCAGGCCTGCAGTCTGCGAGACAGGTCAGGGCCGCCCCAGGCAGGTGCAGGGAAGGCTGGGAAACACCAGGTTCCTCCAAGAGAAGCCCAGGGACACGGTGCCCTTCAGTGGGGCCGCCCTGGGTACTAGATGTGCTAGGGAGGGCGTGGGAGTCTGCAGGTTCTTGACTCTGCTACAGACATCTGCCAAGAGCAGGTCCTCAGGCTGCATCCTAGGAGCATGGCAGCTGCCACGACTCTGCCTCCAGGACTTCCGTGTGAGCCTCCCGAAAGTCCCCAGGGCTGGCTAAGCCTGCACCCCTCTTGCATTCCAGAGGGCCATGTCTTTCTCTCCCCACCATATTATTTAGAACGTAATTAAATGCCGACTTGAGGAAGCAGGATGTGCAATGATTGTGGCACAGATTCTGGAATCAAGTAACCTGGATTCAGATCCCAACTCTATGAATTCCCAGCTGCGGGGCCCTCGGCACTAGGAACCTAAGTGTCCTCATCATGAAATGGGGATGACAACCACATTCACTTCCTGGGAACGGCTTGAGAATAGAAGGTGAAGCCAGCGAAATGCCCAGCCAATGGCCAGCATGGAGGAGGTGCTCCGTGAGCCCCATCTTTTAGCTACTGTGAGTACCTATCTAAGAGCTAGTGATTCTCAACCTTGTTCCCCATTAGAATCACCTGTCAAAAAAATCTAATTCCTGAGACTCGCTCCAGATCAGTCCAATCAACATCTCCAGGCATCTTTATTTTTCAAACTCCTTCCACGTACTTCTAGTGGGTGGCCGGTGAGCAGCGGTGCTCTAAGCTCCCAGAGGCAGGGCCCAGGCAATGAGCCAGCCAGGAACATGTATGCAGTGGATGCTGTCTGCAGCAGAGCTCCAGTGAGGGGCAGCAGTCTATCCCCTCCCTCGCCCAGCCTGGAAGAGCTCTCCTTACCTTGGAGGTGTCTCTCCACCACTGTGGGCTGCCCTGGCCTGGGCTGGCGGCCCTGGAGACCCTGGGCACTGGGGGCCGGGCCCTGGAGTCAGCCTCGTGCCTTCCTCTAAGGGCTCAGGGTCAGGCCTGCTGGACGATGCTCCTTGTCCTGCACCTGGTGCAACCTCCAGGCTCGAGGAGACCACACTGACCCTGCCAGGTGTTGGAGCCAATTCCAGGCCAGTCCTGAGGTTATCGCTGGATGTCTCAGGAGCCTTGGCTTCCACCTCTGTGGGCAGGTACAGGTGGCCAGGGAACGCCTGGCCTGGGCCAGGAATGCCATCTCCCTGGCCTGATGAGGCCCCTGCCTGGGCAGGGTCAGTTCCCAGCCCTGAAGCTCTGATGGGGGGCAGCCTCTCCACTGTCCCTTCCAGCACGTCCACCTTCTGGCTCTCTACAGGAAAACAGGCAGGACAAAAATGCACTCCCATGTGGAGGAGTCTGCCACAAAGATACTGCAAGGAATCTGCACAAGCCATTCAGTGCCCAGGTTTATAACAGCCAAAGACTGGAAACAACACAGATGAAGGGGGCTGGTTGACTAAACCGTGATGCATCCAACAAGGAGTGAGGCACAGCCATGAAAAAAAGAAAATTAATATTTCTATGGAAGCCTGGGCAACATAGTGAAAGCCTGTCTAGAGGAAAATAAACGTCAGTGGACAGACAACTTGCACCACTGCACTCCAGCCTGGGTAACAATGTGACTTTACAAAAAAAAAAAAAAAAAAAAAAAATGAGTTTGGCATGGTGGCATGTGCCTGCAATCCCAGCTACTTGGGAGGCTGAGGCAGGAGGATCGATTGAGCACAGGAGATAGAGGCTGCAGTGAGCCATGTTCATGCCACTTGCACTCCAGCCTGGGCAACAGAACGAGACTCTGTCTCAAAAAAAACAATCTCTAAGCACAGCTATGGAGTGATCTCAGAAAATACTGTAAGTGGAAGAAAGCAAGGTGGAGAATGGTGTGTCTGGTGTCCTGTTTCTCTAAGAAGGGAGCAGGTGTGACTGTGCATGTGTGCACGTGTGCACATAACCACCAATCATGTTGTTTAGGTAGACTGGTCCTCAAGAGAAAGAGAAGACAAAAGCTATTTAAATAGTTACATATAGGGGGAAGAAGCAGGGTGCAGGGGACAAAGGTAGAAGATAATCTTCTCTTTTTATTTGTTTATTTATTTATTTTTTATTTATTTCGAGACAGAGCCTCACTCTTGTCACCCCAGCTGGAGTGCACTGGCGTGATCTTGGCTCCCTGCAACCTCTGCCTCCCCGGTTCAAGCAATTCTCCTGCCTCAGCCTCCCGAGTACTTGGGTTTACAGGCATGTGCCACCATGCCTGGCTAATTTTTTTTTGAGATGGAGTGTCACTCTGTAGCCCAGGCTGGAGTGCAGTGGTGCAAGCTCGGCTCACTGCAACCTCCGCCTCTCGGGTCCTGGTTCAAGCAATTCTCCTACCTCAGCCTCCCAAGTAGCTGGGATTACAGACACAAGCCACCGTGCCCAGCTAATTTCTGTATTTTTTAGTAGAGACGGGATTTCACCATATTGGCCAGTCTGGTTTTGAACTCCTGACCTCATGATCCACCCTCCTTGGCCTTCCAAAGTGCTGGGATTATGGGCATGAGCCACCGTGCCTGGCTGCTAATTTTTATATTTTTAGTAGAGACAGGGTTTCACCATGTTGGCCAGGCTGTTCTCAAACTCCTGACCTCAGGTGATCCACCCATCTCAGCCTCCCAAAATGCTGGGATTACAGGTGTGAGCCACTGCACCCTGCCTCTTTTATTTTTAAATAAAATAAATTTTTCATAGTGATGGAGTCTCACTATGCTGTTGCCCAGGCTGTTCTCAAACTCCTGAGCTCAAGTGATCCTCCTGCCTTGGCTTCCCAAATTGCTAAGATTACAGAAATGAACCACTGCACCTGGCCTCTAGACTTCTCTTAATATACATTGTTTTGTCTGTTTGACTTTGGAACCACATAAATATCATGCAAAATTATACAAGAAAATTAAAGGTTAAAAAGTTAATCCATAAACATTTAAAGCATTTGAGTACCAAATTGGTGGCATAGCCTGCACAGAAAGGTACTACAGTTGACCCTTGAGAGACACAAGTTTGAACTGCACTGGTTCACTTCGATGCAGATTTTCTTCCTCCTCTGCCACCAAGACAGCAAGACCAACCCCTCACCTTCCTCGTCCTGCTCAGCCTACTTAATGTGAAAATGACAAGGATGAAGACCCACTTCCACTTAATGAATAGGGATATTTTATCTTCCTTGTGAACATCATAATAACACTTTCTTTTCTCTAGCTTACTCTCTTATATGAATATCATATTTAATACATAAAATAGTACAAGCACCTGTTAATCACTTATTTCTGTTATCAGCAAGACTTCCAGTTGATAGTAAGCTATCAGTAGTTAAACTTTGGAAGAGTCAAAAATTATACTTGAATTTTCAACTGTTCAGGAAGTCAGTGCCCCTAACCCTGGAGTTGTTCAAGAGTCAACTGTATTCCAAGTGGTTTTGAAACATAGCAATTGATTATGCGTCTCTGGTGGGATATAGATGATCAAAAAAAAACCCTGCAAAAACAAAAAAAAAAAGGAAGCTTTGACAGTTGCCCAGGAATCATTCTGTGGGCCATGTTGTCAGGCCCTTTATTCTGAAGCTGTTGTGTCTACAGTGTCGGATAAAGCAAATGAGGTCCCACTCACCTTCCCCAGGCCCCCTGGCATCAGCCTGCAACCCCCTGGTGCTCAGCACATGCTTTGGTTTTGCTCCCTCTTCTTCCACTGGTTCTTTGTTCTAAAATAACAACCACAAAAAAAGGTCATCATTATCATCAACACTGTCATTCAGGCCACAGACATTTGTTGAGCACCTCCCGCGTGCTTAACGTAAGGGCATTTAGGTTATTTCGCACAGTCTCACAGTAACATTGGAGAGTAGACACTGCAATTATCACTTTAGAGAGGACGCTGAGCCCTTCCCAAGGTCATAAAACTTAAAAGAGGAGGCGGCCAGCTTTATACCCAGAACCACCTTCTTTCCAGGGCTTCACCACATTCCCCAAAAGGGAAGAACCCAGCCCTGGATACAGGGTTCAAAATAGGTTTGACTCTAAAGGGCTTAGACTAGAGATGGAAAATAATCATTAAAAAAAAATTTTTTTTGAGACAAGGTCTTGCTCTGTCACTCAGGCTGCAGTCCAGTGGCATAATCTCGTTTCACTAAAACCTCTGTCTGCCAAGTTTTTTTTTTTGGGGGGGGGGGGCGGGGCAGAGTCTCTCTCCATTGTCCAGACTGGAGTGCAGTGGTTGGATTCCAGCTCACTGCAGCCTCGAGCTTCCAGAAGTAAGTGATCCTCCTACCTCAGCCTCAGGAGTAGCTGGGACTACAGGAATGTGCCGCCACCTCCAGCTAATTGCTGTTGTTGTTTTATAGAGACAAGGTACTCACCCTGTTACTCAGGTTTAAATTTTTCAATTTGTTCCCAACTTTTAAAATCCATGAGATTTTTACATTTAGGATCCCTTTTGGGGTGACATAATTGTTTCCTATTTTTACTGTGGTGATGGTGACAGGTGGAAATGTTTGTGGAGCTACATATTAGAAATGTGCATATGTGTGTATGTGAAGTTTATTATATGTAAATTGTACCATTATAATTATTATGTAATTATTACAGCTTAATAAAACTTGCTAGAAAAGAAATCTAAGTTCCCAGTTTTTCTTAAAAAATCTGAAGATGGGCCGGCGCAGTGGCTCACGCCTGTAATCCCAGCACTTAGGGAGGCCAAGGCAGGCGGATCACAAGGTCAAGAGATCAAGACCATCCTGGCCAACATGCTGAAACCCCGTCTCTACTAAAATACAAAATTAGCTGGGCATGGTGGTGCACACCTGTAGTCCCAGCTACTCGGGAGGCTGAGGCAGGAGAATCGCTTGAACCCAGGAGGTGGAGGTTGAAGTGAGCCGAGACCATGCCACTGCACTCCAGCCTGGTGCCTGGTGACAGAGCGAGACTCGAAAAAAAAAAAAAATCTGAAGATGGCTGGGTGCGGTGGCTCACACCTGTAATCCCAGCACTTTTGGAGACTGAGGCGAGTGGATCACCTGAGGTCAGGAGTTCAAGACCAGCCTGGCCAACATGGTAAAACGCTGTCTCTACAAAAATTAGCCGGGTGTGGTGGCAGGCACCTGTAATTCCAGCTACTCAGGAGGCTGAGGCAGGGACAACTGCTTAAACCTGGGAGGTGGAGGTTGTGGTGAGCCGAGGTCGCACCGCTGCACTCCAGCCTGGGGTACAAAGTGAGACTCTGTCTCAAAAAAACAAAACAAAACAAAAAATCTGAAGATCTTGCAACTCTAGGCCCTGATGGCAAAATCCGGCTAGGGCAGTTCCCTCTAAGTGGGGCACTACAGGCCTCACCTGTCCCAAATGTCTCCCCAACCCTAAGGTGCTGGTTGTACTGTTTGTCTACACCATTCCCACTCCTCTCAATTACTACGTACTCATTGCTTTGCGATTCTAGGATACCAAGCTTTGACCTCTGAATGATAAGGACACAGTGCATAGGGAACACATAGTCCAGCACCTGGCATGGGGGAGGCACTTCATCAAAAATGCTTGCTGCCGCTGTCACAGTTATCACCAGCATCGTCAATGTGGCCCAGATCCCCTGCTGGGCAGATGGCTTTCCATTATCCTTCTGCAGGCTTTGTCCTGCTGCCCCCGGAGCTGGGGGAACTGGAGGCATGAAACAGACCTCCTCTTCTTTCACCCACTGGCAGAAAGGGACTTGGACAGACTGTCCTTGGGCAGACCTTGTTGGGCTCAAACTGTCCTCTCCCTCCCCCAACTTTAGGGTAGGCAGGAGAATATGTGCCCATCCCCCAACTCCAGCTGGGTTCTGTCTTCAGGGCTCCACCTTCTAGTCCCTACCGAGTCTGTGCTTCCTCACACACCATTCTAGAGTACTGGTGCCTCTGAACACATACGCCTGGGGCTGTTTTCCAGGAGAGAGCACCTGGCTTCCAGGGATCATTGAATTCACTGCTGGAACCAGATGAAGTGCCGCTGGGCACTTCTGAAGATCTCAGGAGGACCTTCACAAAGTCCTGGCATAATTTTCAAATTTAACCACCAGTACTAGGATTTAATTCCATTCCAAAGATGGTTGTCATGCCCCACTCTCCCAGGAAACACAGAATCCCCAAGAAGCCTCCATAATGCACGGTGTTCAGCACTGACCAGGTGTTTAGCAGCTGTGGCTATGTCTCAGTTCACTGTCCATTCTCTGAGCGCTTCCTGCAAAACCTGCCCTGGCCTCAGAACACAGAGGGAAGAAGAGTCTTACTGTCATGGGCCAATCAGCAGCCTGATTAGGACACTGGACCAAACCTGAAGACATTCCTGACATGGATATTAAACTCAAGGACTAGGGAGATATCTAGCAAGTGCCAGTGGGGCAGGACAGACAGGAAACAGCACAAGAACTCAGAAAACAGAAAGTTCTATGACTTCCCTTACCCAGAAATGCCTTCACGCGACATGTGTAACAGCTAGTTTCATTAATACATGAAGCGCTCTTACAAATCAATAAGAAAAAGGCAAAAAAAAAAAAAAAAATAGGAAAGATGGGAAAAGATGAGCAGGCAGTTCACAGAAAATACAAAAGATTTCAAACCTGTGTGTAAACGTTCAGTCTTCTAGTAAGAGAAATATAAATCAAAACTACGAGACATATTACTGTACCTTTGGTTATATTTGAAATTTTCCATAATGAAAACCTAAACTTTTTTCATAAATTCAAAAGGTTAGCTTTAACAGATATATAACTCATTGTCTTATTTGAGTCTGATGCAACTAAACTGTAAAACTTTTTTTTTGAGATGGAGTCTCACTCTGTTGCCCAGGCTGGAGTGCAGTGGCATGATCTTGGCTCACTGCAAGCTTCACCTCTCGGGTTCAAGCGATTCTTCTGCCTCAGCCTCTGAGGAGCTGGGATTACAGGCAAACGCCACTATGCCCAGCTAATTTTTGTTTTTTAGTAGAGATGGGGTTTCACCATATTGGCCAGGCTAGTCTTGAACTCCTGACCTCATGATCTGCCCACCTCAGCCTTCCAAAGTGCTAGGATTACATGTGTGACCCAACTCACCTGGCTTTTTTTTTTTTTTTTTTAAATGCAGTTTGCGCCCAGGCGTGGTGGCTCACGGCTGTAATCCCAGCACTTTGGAAGGCCAAGGTGGGTGGATCGTGAGGTCAGGAGTTCAAGACCAGCCCAGCCAAGATGGTAAAACCCCGTCTCTACTAAAAATAAAAAAATTAATCGGACGTGGTGGTGGGCACCTGTAATCCCAGCTACTAGGGAGGCTGAGGCAGAGAATTGCTTGAACCTGGGAGGCGGAGGTTGCAGTGAGCTGAGATCGCACCACTGCACTCCAGCCTGGGTGACAGAGCGAGACTGTCTCAAAAAAAAAAAAAAAAAAAAAAAAGATGCAGTTTGTGCTCTTGTTGCCCAGGCTAGAGTGTGGTGGCATAATCTTGGCTCACTGCAACCTCCAATCTCCCGGGTTCAAGCAATTCTCCTGCCTCAGCCTCCCGAGTAGCTGGCATTACAGGTATGTGCCACCATGACCAGCTAATTTTTGTATTTTTATTAGAGAAAGGGTTTCAGCATGTTAGCCAAGCTGGTCTCGAACTCCTGACCTCAGTTGATCCCCCTGCCTTGACCTTCCAAAGTGCTGAGATTAAGGCCTGAGCCACTGTGCCCAGCCTAAAATATGTTTAAAGTATAAGGTAGATAATCAGGAAAATTTGAACACTGAACTTCAATAATATTAAAAGTTATCATTCGGCCCAGCGCAGTGGCTCATGCCTGTAATCCCAACACTTGGGGAGGCTGAAGCAGGAAAATTGCTTGAGCCCAGGAGTTCAAGACCAGCCTGGGCAACATGGTGAGACCCTGTCTCTATAAATAAATAAATAAGGTTATTCACTTTTTTAGATGTGATGATAGTATCAAGATTATGTTTTTTAAACAACCCCATCAAAAAGTGGGCAAAAGATATGAACAGACACTTTTCAAAAGAAGACATGTATGCAGCCAACAAACATATGAAAAAATGCTCATCATCACTGGTCACTAGAGAAATGCAAATCAAAACCACACTGAGATACCATCTCACACCAGTTAGAATGGCGATCATTAAAAAATCTGGAGACAACAGACGCTGGGGAGGATGTGGAGAAATAGGAATGCTTTTACACTGTTGGTGGGAGCGTAAATTAGTTCAACCATTGTGGAAGACAGTGTGGCGATTCCTCAAGGATCTAGAAATAGAAATTCCATTTGACCCAGCAATCCCATTACTGGGTATATACCCAAATAATTATAAACCGTTCTATTATAAAGACACATGCACACGTATGTTCATTGTGGCACTATTTACAATAGCAAAGACTTGGAACCAACCCAAATGCCCATCAACAATAGACTGGATAAAGAAAATGTGGCACATATACACCATGGAATACTATGCAATTATAAAAAAGGATGAGTTCATGTAATTTGCAGGGACATGGATGAACCTGGAAACCATCATTCTCAGCAAACTGACACAAGAACAGAAAACCAAACACCACATGTTCTCACTCATAAGTGAGTGTTGAACAATGAGAACACATGGACACAGGGAGGGGAACATCACACACTGGGATCTATTGGGAAGTAGGGGGTAGGGGAGGGATAGCAGGGGGCGGGGAGATTGGGGAGGGATAACATTAGGAGAAATACCTAAAGTAGCTGATGGGTGGATGGAGGCAGCAAAACACTATGGCATGTGTATACCTATGTAACAGTCCTGGAAGATCTGCACGTGTACCCCAGAACTTAAAGTAAAATAAAAATAAATAAATAAATATTATGTTTTTTAAAAGAGCCCTTATCTTTGAGATATAAATACTAAAACATTTATGAAAGAAATGATCCAGCATCTCAGATTTGCTTCAAATAATCTGAAGGGAGAAGTGGGTGGGGAAAAGAGAGAACAGACAGTGCACAATAATTTCCCATTGTCATTCACCAGACAGGCAAAGAATCAAAAGCATTCCCATACCTTGATGGTAGGAGACTGATTTGGAGTAACTTCTTTGAAGGCCGGTTTGCATAAATTTACCATTTGGGTTGGCATTTCCACTGCCAGGAGTGTATCATGCAGATAAACTCACACTTGTGTTCAGTGACATACATCTATGGATAATCACTGAATCATTATTTATAGTTACTAAAAATGAGAAACAATAGAAACAAATGAGGATCTGGGGCTGGTTAAGAACTGAAGACACAGCCCCCAGAAGGGAATCTCAGAATATATTTATAACAATGTGAACATCAATCAGTGCCCAAAATATATATTAAGTAAAAAATTAGAAATCAAGGCCAGAAGAATGTGAATAACATAAGTTAAAACAAAACAATTTTGCCAGGAGTGGTGGCTTACACATATAATCCCAGCATTTTGGGAGACTGAAGCAGGCAGATCACTTGAGGTCAGGAGTTCAAGATCAGCCTGGCTAATAAGGTGAAATTCCGTCTCTACTAAAAATACAAAAATTAGCCGGGTGTGGTGGTCTGTGCCTATAATCCCAGCTACTCGGGAGTCTGAGACCAGAGAATTGCTTAAACCTGGGAGGAGGAGGTTGCAGTCAGTCAAGACTGTGCCACCGCACTCCAGCCTGGGCCACCGCACTCCAGCCTTGGTGACAGAGCGAGACTCCATCTCAAAAACAAAATGAAAACAACTAAGCAATTCTGGTGCTACGGACTGTAGAAAAAAAACAAAAACAAAACCACAAGCGTGGTGTGGATACCAAGGTGCTTGTAGACACAGCCTCTATCTGGAAGAATTCAAAGGAAATCAGAATCCACCCTTGCCTTGGGTGGGGCAGGGCATTGGTGTCTGGGGTCTGGGGGGATGGAATAGGAAGGAGATATATGCTCTTTACATGATTTTTTTACCATGTACATTTAATTTTTTTACAGTTATTGATTAGATCTATTTTATAACTTACAGTCGTGACTATATCTGCTGGGGAGGACTGGTTCCTGGGCTCCATCCATACCAAAATCTATGGCTGCTCAAGTCTCTGATATAAAATGTCATGGTATTTGCATGTAACCTACACACATCCTCCCATATACTTTAAATCATCTCCAGTTTACTTATAAAGCCTAATACGATGTAGATGCTATCTGAATAGTTGTCACACTATTGTATAACAACTGTATTATTACTTAGAGAATAATGACGAGAAAGAAAAACCTGCACATGCTCAATAGGGACACACCATCATAGGCTTAACTACATTTTGATCTGAGGGCCAACTATAATTAGATTAATATCCTTTTTTTTTTTTTTTTTGAAGAGACAGGGCCTCACTCTGTGGCCCAGGCTGGAGTGCACTGGCACAAACATTGTAGCCTCCATTTCCAGGACTCAAGCAGTTCTCCCACGTCAGCCTCCCAAGTAGCTGGGACTACAGATATGTGCCACAATACCTGGCTAATTTTTTAATTTATTATTTGTAGAGACAGGGTTTTACTATGTTGCCCAGGCTGGTCTCAAACTCCTGGCCTCAAGCAGTCCTCCACCTCGGCCTCCTAAAGCACTAGGATTATAGGCATGAGCCACTGCATCCAGCCTAATTTTCTTTTTCAAAGCTGGGCTTGGTTAGGGTCACACTGCCCTGCAGGCCAAGCCCTCACGAGATGCGCCCTGCAGACAGCAGACAGCGGGGGCTGGGGAGAGGGGTAACTCTGGGAGAAGCTGCAGGGTGGGGAGGGGAAGGGGCCGCAGGGGAGCTCTGGCCTTGTGGGAGGGGTAGCATGCTCCTGTCCTTGGCAGCTGACACAGAGTCAAGCACAGACCCCTTTAGTCCCCAGCTCGTCTCTTGCCAGAGTCTGGTGAGTCACTGCAGGGGTCTGAAATGGTGGCTCCAGCCTGTCTGAGTGTTGCTAAGTGACTGACCCCTAGCTGCTCCCAAACAGGGTGTTCCCTCTACAGGCCTCACCCCCATATCCTTCTCCCAGCAGCCAAGCTTCCATTAGCCCACAGGATTGATTATGCAACTCGGGAACAGCCGCTCCCAGGAATGCCACCCTCCACCTCCAGGCTCTGGCTCCTGCCTGCTGTCCCCCGGGTCACTGTCAACACTCGTTTCCCCACAGGCAGCTGCACTCTCCACCCACTCTCGGGCTAAGCCCAAGGTTGGGGACAGGAGGTGGCGGGTGGGTTTCTGAGCAGGGTTCCATCAGGACAGACTGGCCACTCCTGCCTGCCCCACCCTACATGTGAAGGAGCAGAAAGGCGGTCACAGTGGTATCAGAGAAGCGTGCTGGTTCCCTCTTCCAAACTGCCAGCATGTCCCCCATGGCTGGGTTCCCTGGAGCTACCAAGGCCCCACAGTCCTGGTCAGGGCCCCGCTTCTTCCCTTCCCCGGGGAGAATGGCAGGCAGTGTCCTGCCTGGAAATCCACTTATGACCCGTAAGGTTCTGGCTCTCCTTTTCCCCATCAACAGGTCACACAGGAAGGGGACACCATGCCTCCAGCTCTCCGAACACTGGCTGCCTGGCCAGTCTCCCACCAGGGCCGGGGCCTCCCGTCCAGCCAGCGCAGGGAAGCAAGAACCAACCTCCTCAGGGCTGTCACCTGGGCTGCTTCTCCTCCAGGGGACACGCCCCTGCATAAGGAAATCCACCACCTTCGATTTCTGGAACGTGGCCCCCACCAAAGCGATGGCCCTGTCCACCGCAGCCACCATCCTGAAGAGGGCCTCCAGCCTGGCGCCATGCTGGGCCGCGTCCTGCTGCATGGCCCTCACCAACTCCAGGACCTCGGACCACCCAGCATGGGTGTTAGCAGGGGGAGCCCCGTCAGCCCCAGCCAGGCCCAGCGCCTGGGAGGCCTCCAGCCTGTGCAGGCCCTGCTCCAGGCGGCCCATGTCTCGGCACATGCACTGCAGCTGCTCTGTGACATCTTCTTGGAAATGCAGGAGCTGGTCCACCTTCTCATTCAGCAGGTTCAGCTTTTTGTCCATGGTGGTTAAGCAGGCCTTACCCAGCCCTGGCAGCCCTCGGGGCCCCAGACTCTCCTTAGAGGCCCCTGACATCCTGGTGCAGGCTTGACCAGGGTAAGAGCGGAGGATAAGGAGGCACAGACCCCTGGTTCTCACTCAGGTGGTGATGTCTGCAAGGTCATTATTCTCGGTAGCTGACAGCCTCCCGGCAGCACCAGCCCCCGCGATGGCCCGGGCGTGTGGGGAGCGCAGAGGCCCCGGGTTCTCCCTATGCCTTCACTTTGCTTATCTCCCACCCTCCTCTGGCCATGAGTGACAGGCCGAGGTCGGCCCAGGCCCTTCTCCTTGGGACCTGTTTGACATCACGGCAGCATTTGACATTCCTCTCTGAGAGGCTGCTGATGGGCAAATATGTTAAGAATCTGCCCAGAGCAGGCGGGGTTCGTGCAAGAAACGGTTCCGAGGAAAGGGAAGGGTCCTTTGGAGAACGGCACCTGCCTGCTAGGCTCCAGGAGGGATCCCTGGCAGAGAAAGGCCCTTAGAGGCCCAGAGACCTGAGGCCACACATGTCAGTCACAATAAAAAGCAAGACCGAGACAGGAAGGAATGTGAGACCACTCAGCAAAGTTGCGACTTTTGCCATGATGAAAATGTTGATGCTTCTGCAAATTTAAAATAAATTTCAGGTGCCCCTACTATGCCAGCGTTCAGAACATGTGTTCAGACTATCTGTGGGGTGGCCGGCTGGTCCCTCCCCACCAGGCCCCTCAGTCACTAGTCACTTGTACCTAAAAATAGAATCAAGGACAATGGCCCCGGCTACCTGCCAAGCACTGTCCCGAGGGCCGTGTTTCTCACCAAGCCCTCAGGGAGACACCAGAGACACCTGCTCCCCTCCCCCCCATAACAACTATGTAGGTATCAGACTCGCAATTTCCACACTGAAACAGACTCAGCAGGGACCCAGAGTGCAACAGGCCTGTGCTTCCTGGGGTTTAAAAACGTTTTCACCTCAGAAGACTTTGGTTCAAATAAAACATTTTATGATAGCATCAGTCAATAAAGTAGACACAAGCAGAGATGCTCAGGTTACCCCCTGAGGTAGGGCACAGGGAACCCCTCAAAGTCCTAAGGATGCCACGGAGCAGTCTGATCTACACTTCTGACCTACATTTCCATCCAGCTCCCTGCAGGCAGAGGGCAAGGTCCAGAGAGGGGGATTTGCCTAAGGTGGCCCAGACAGGCACACGGCCCCCTGAAGATGGTCCAGCCATGGTAGGGCTGTCCCCAAGGGAGGGGCCTTTAGTGTCTTCTCAAGCTTCCCCTTTCTGAATAAAAGCAATTATAATAAAGTTTGACCTGGAAATTTGGAATCTAAAAGCATTGTTAGGGCCAGGTGTGGTAATCCTAACACTTTGACAGGTGGATTTCTTGTGCCGAGGTGTTTGAGACCAGCCTGGGCAACAAGGCAAGACCTGGTCTCTACAAAAAATTAGCCAGGCGAGGTAGCACACACCTGTGGTCCCAGCTACTCAGGAGGCTGAGGCAGGCTGCAGTGAGCTGTGATCCCGCCACTGCATGCCAGCCTGGGCAACAGAATGAGACCCTGTCTTTAAAATAAATAAATACACGAAAGTACCATTAGAGGTTTGCTGTGTTAAACCATTAACCTATCAATGCAACAAGCTTACTATGCAAATGCAGCTTGACCACAGTCTTCTCTACCTACCCCTCTGTCCCGATTGCTGCCCCTGGGCAGTCCACAGAGAAATCCAAACCCATTCCTGGGAGCACAGCCCTGAGTCCCTGAGTGATGTTGGTGGAATGGCCCAGAACATGCTAGAAAGAGTAGGGCTGTTATATTTACCGCCACTCAAAACAAACACATAAAGTCTACCTGGAAAAGGAAATTTGAGGGGTAATCCCGTGCTCCCGCCCCTCTAGGGGATTCACCATGTGCCTCAGGAGGACCTCATCTGCCTCAGAAGACTCCCCCATCCGACCAGGACAGCAGGTTCTCCTGACACCTCACACCTAGCACTTCCCTGGGGATGCGGGCTCCCTGGGCCAACCTTTGGGAAATGGCTGCCTAGAGAAGTCTCTAGAAGTCTAACACGCCCAGCCCAACCCTGTGTCTCTCTCCAGTTGGTGCCAATAATTTTTGTGGAATAAAGTTCCCAATAGACAAGAGAAGCAGACCCTGGTCTCTGGAGGACAGACTTTATTATTGCCGCCACTGTGGAGATCTCTGGAGAACCATCCAGGCAAGTCCTGGGTAACCAGAAAGGACTGGGGGCAGTGGCTCATGCCTGTAATCCCAGCACTTTGGGAGGCCAAGGTAGGTGGATCAAAGGTCAAGAGATCGAAACCATTCTGGCCAACATGGTGAAAACCCATCTCTACTAAAAATACAAAAATTAGCTGGGCGTGGTGGTGCACACCTGTAGTCCCAGCTACTTGGGAGGCTGAGACAGGAGAATCGCTTGAACCCAGGAGTCCAAGGTTGCAGTGAGCTGAGATCATGGCCACTGCACTCCAGCCTGGCAATATAGTGAGACCCCATCTCAAAAATAATAAATAAATAAATAAATATATAAATATATAAAGCAAGCCGGAAACATAACTTCAAAGTCTACATGAATCTAGAGAAAACTACCAAATGCCCCAGACATGTATCTAAATCAAAAGTGAATTATCTGAGGCTGGGTGTGGTAGCTTATGCCTGTAATTCCAGCACTTTGGGAAGCTGAGGAAGGTGGATCACTTGAGGTCAGCAGTTTGAGATCAGCCTGGCCAACATGGTGAAGCCCCATCTCTACTAAAAATACAAAAATTAGCAGGATGTGGCAGCGCACACCTGTAATCCCAGCTACTCGGGAAGCTGGGGCAGGAGAATCGAGATGATGTCACTGTACTCCAGCCTGGGTGACACAGCGAGACTCTGTCTCAAAAAAAATAAATAAATTATCCAAATTACAAAGGATTTGTCAAGTCTCCATTAAGTAACAAGTTTACAAGGTAGCGCATTTGCTAAGAAGGTGGCTGTGGCTGGAAACTCCCTGAGGGCAGACCACCCTCTTGGGCTTTGCCTGCATCACCGGAGGCAACAACTGCCTGGCACGTGGCCAGGTGTTCAAAATCGAGGAATGAGTCAAAGAGGCAACCACAGCGTGCTGATCGGACCATCCCAAGACTTCTGTGGAAGGAGGAGGCAGGAGCTTCCGCAAACCATTGAAGTGAGCACAGGGGGGAAACCCCGACAATCCCGGAAGGGAGCTCTTGGGCCTTCTGGGAGAAAGTCCAGAACACAGGTTCCTAGGGCCTCTTTGGTGGAAAGGAGTAGCCAGAAGGACCAGCTTTAACCCCTTTCCTTCTCAGCTTTAGGAGAAATGAGTTTGGAGCACATGGATTTCCTGCGGGGATGCCTGGCTTCTCTCCAACTCTCTCTGATGCACAGGACACAGCAGGGGGCTTGGCCAGTTTTTGGGTGATGGTGCTTGCCCAGAGGATGGGGAAGCATTGACCCCCCCAAGCCAAGAGAACCAAGACCAGAGAAGACACAGCTAAACTGGATCGACAGAGCAGTAAATACCATAACCCCTTGTCTTTCCTGGGTAAGGACAGGGCTGTGGATCCTCTGCCAGAAAAAGACAGGCTGACCTCTATTCACCCTAGGGTGGGGCCAGCATGCACTAAACCCTGAGACTCTTCCCTGGACTTCTGGTGACCTAACAGTCTCAGAGATGGTGGGGTGAGAGAGACTTCAACAGCCTCATTTTATTTTATTTTTTTCTTTTTCTGAGCTAGGGTCTTGGTCTGTTGCCCAGGCTGGAGTGCAGTGGGACAGCCACAGCTCACTGCAACCGGGAACTCCTAGGCTCAAGCAATCCTCCTGCCTCAGCCTCCTGCATAACTGGGATTACAGGTGCATGCCCCCACACCCAGTTAATTTTTAATTTAAAAAAAAATTTCATCACCCAGGGCCGGGCACGGTGGCTCATGCCTGTAATCTCAGCACTTTGGGAGGCTGAGGCAGGAGGATCGCTTGAGCCCACGAGTTCAAGACCAGCCTGGGCAACATAGCAAACCCCCGTCTCTACAAAAGAACATATATGTATATATTAGCCAGGCATGGTGGCATGTGCCTGTCGTCCCAGTTATTGGGAGGCTGAGGCAGAAGGATCTCTTGAGCTTGGGAGGTTGAGGCAGTAGTGAGCATGACAGTGCCACTGTACTCCAACCTGGACAACAGAAGGAGACCTTGCCTCAAAAAATAAAATAAAATGATACTAAGGCTCTGACTCAAGTTGAAAGACTGACCTCTCATATTTCTCTCCTTCCCCTCCAGAGACTTCATGGTAAAGGAAGAAAATAAATACACACCCTCAATGATGAACAGAATGGAAGGTGGGCCATTGGTGAATGAGTGTTATCAATGAATTTCTGGAAGATGGATAGCAGGTGGAGGAGCGGTAACTGGAGAAATAAGAAACAGAAAACTACAGCTTCACTGGCCGCAACGGTGAATACAGATAAGCACAGAGCCACCTTTCCCTGTAGGACACCAGAGAGCCTTCAGACCCCAAGACCTTCGGTGGGGTAAACGGGGAGCAGAAATGCAAGACTGAAGAGCCTGTCCCTATAGCGGCCCCCTTCCTGTCCCACACCTCGGCACAGAAGGGCCTGGCCAGGCCCACCCTCCCTGGAGATCAGAGCCTGTTTCTGGAGAAATGCGATGGTCCACAGCACAATAGTTCTATGTGCTGGCTTTTGGGGTTCCTTAGGAGTGTCCCACCCGATCATCCTCAACAAAGCCACGCAGCTAACAAGCCTCAACCACCTACCCAGCCGTTAGTACCTTCTTCAGAAATATGCCCAGACAAAAAGGATCACTGGGTGTTCAAAGAAAGCCTTCAAGATGAAAATGGGAGACTAAAGCAAATAAACAGAAACATGATCAAAGAAGAAACAGAGAAAATGAAAAACAGTTTCAAAAAGGCTGTCATTTGGCAGGGTGAGGTGGCTCACACCTGTAATCCCAGCACTTTAGGAGGCCAAGGCAGGAGGCTTGATTGAGCCCAAGAATTTGAGGCCAGTCTGGGAAATATAGGGAGATCCTGTCTCTACAAAAAAAAAAAAATTTTAATTAGCTGGGCATGGTGGCGTGTGCCTGAAGTCCCAGCTATTTGGGAAGCTGAGACAGTAAGATTGTTTAAGCCTGGGAGACAGAGGCTACAGCGAGCTATGTTTGTGCCACTGCACTCCAACCAGGGCAACAGGGCGAGACCCT